CTGCGTACTACTTGGGATCATGTAGGCTTCATGAAAATTTGTGATAAATGTTTTACCATCATGCTTTCCTTCCTTCTTTCCCTAGCCCCTTCCTTCCTCCCTTCCTTCTTCCCTGAGTAACTCAGTCAAAAAGCCATTTGATAACTTCCCCTCCCCTCCCCTTCAAAGAGAAGGGGCTATTACAGCAGAGGCAGAGGAAGGGGCTGGAAAGCCAAAGAAGCAACTAGCATGCTAGGAAGATGAGTCACATACAGGGGAATTGAGGGCAGAAAAAAGAAAGAAGGGACAGAGGCTGCTCCTTTAGCCTGGATCCCAGAGCCAACTCACAGGAGCAGCAGCACGTAACATGAGTAAAAATTAACCTTTGTTGGGGCAAGCCCCTGAGATTTCATGGTTATTTGTGTGAACAAAAAATCTTGGGGTCTCCAAATCACTAAGCTAAAGGGAAAAGTCAAGCTGGGAACTTCTTAGGCCAAACCTGCCTCCCTTCTATTCAAAGTCATCCGTCTGCTCACTGAGATAAATGTACATCTGATTGCCTCCTTTGGAAAGGGTAATCAGAAACTCAAAAGAATGCAAGCATTTGTTTCTTATCTACCTAAGACCTGGAAGCCCTCTCCTCACTTTGAGATGTCCCACCTTTCTAGACCAAACCAATGTTCATCTTACATATGTTGATTGATGTTTCATGTCTCCCTAAAACGTACAAAACCAAGCTGTGCTCTGATCACCTTGGGCGCATGTCATCAAGACCTCCTGAGGCTGTGTCACGGGCGCACATCCTTAACTTTGGCAAAATAAACTTTCTAAATTAACTGAGACCTGTCTTAGATTTTGGGGGTTCACATGTTACCCACAACAAGCTGGGTCTAAGCCAACTGATACAGCAACTGGTAAATAACTTCTGTGCTTAGAGTGTGAATACAGCTTGTCTATCTCATACCAAAACCCATGCTCTTTCCACTTGATATATAGAATTGTTTATTGATACACACACAGACACACACACATGCACACACACACACACACAACATATATAGGTATATATACATCTATCTAGTTATTTAGAGAGTTTAAAACGTAAGGAAAGTTGCAAAAATAATAGAGCTCCTATATTACCCTTCACCCAGCTTCTGCAACGATATGTCTTACATATTCATAGCACTTTGGTAAAATCAGGAAACTGATACTGGTACAATACTGTTAATACAGGTATAGCAGTCTCCAACTCCCAGCGCGAGCGACACAGAAGACCGGTGATTTCTGCATTTTCAACTGAGGTACTGGGTTCATCTCACTAGGGTGTGCCGGACAATCAGTGCTGGTCAGCTGCTGCAGCCCGACCAACGAGAGCTGAAGCAGGGCGAGGCATCGCCTCACCTGGGAAGCGCAAGGGGGAAGGGAATCCCTTTAGACACACAACACCTGGAAAATCGGGTAACTCCCACCCCAATACTGCGCTTTAAGCAAACAGGCACACCTGGAGATAATATCCCACACCTGGCCGGGAGGGTCCCACCCCAGGGAGCCTCCCTCATTGCTAGCACAGCAGTCTGTGATCTACCGGCAAGGCAGCAGCGAGGCTGGGGGAGGGGCGCCCGCCATTGCTGACGCTTAAGTAGGTAAACAAACCCGCTGGGAAGCTCGAATTGGGTGGAGCTCACAGCAGCTCAAGGAAACCTGCCTGTCTCTGTAGACTCCACCTCTGGGGACGGGCACAGATAACAACAAAAGCAGCAGAAACCTCTGCAGACGCAAACGACTCTGTCTGACAGCTTTGAAGAGAGCAGTGGATCTCCCAACACGGAGGTTGAGATCTGAGAAGGGACAGACTCCCTGCTCAAGTGGGTCCCTGACCCCTGAGTAGCCTAACTGGGAGACATCCCCCACTAGGGGCAGTCTGACACCCCACACCTCACAGGGTGGAATACACCCCTGAGAGGAAGCCTCCAAAGCAAGAATCAGACAGGTACACTCGCTGTTCAGCAATATTCTATCTTCTGCAGCCTCTGCTGCTGATACCCAGGCAAACAGGGTCTGGAGTGGACCTCAAGCAATCTCCAACAGACCTACAGCTGAGGGTCCTGACTGTTAGAAGGAAAACTATCAAACAGGAAGGACACCTACACCAAAACCCCATCAGTACGTCACCATCATCAAAGACCAGAGGCAGATAAAACCATAAAGATGGGGAAAACGCAGGGCAGAAAAGCTGGAAATTCAAAAAATAAGAGTGCATCTCCCCCGGCAAAGGAGCGCAGCTCATCGCCAGCAACGGATCAAAGCTGGACGGAGAATGACTTCGACGAGATGAGAGAAGAAAGCTTCAGTCCATCAAACTTCTCAGAGCTAAAGGAGGAATTACGTACCCAGCGCAAAGAAACTAAAAATCTTCACACCGGGGCCTATTATGGGGAGGGGGGAGGGGGGAGGGATTGCACTGGGAGTTATACCTGATGTAAATGACGAGTAGTTGGGTGCTGACGAGTTGATGGGTGCAGCACAGCAACATGGCACAAGTATACATATGTAACAAACCTGCACGTTATGCACATGTACCCTAGAACTTAAAGTATAATAATAATAATAAATAAATAAAATTTAAAAAAAATACAGGTATAGATCTTATTTGTGTTTTACTAGTTTTGAATATACCACTTTGCATTTTCGGTGTATAGCTCTATGAATTTTATCAGATGTATAGATATGAGTAACTGTCAACACAAAGAGACTCTGTCGTGTTACTAGTCAGACCCTTGTCCCAACCATAACACTTGGCAATCATGGATTCGTTCTTCATTGCTATTTTTTTTTTTTTTTTGGCTTTGAGAATGATACCTAGATGGAATCATACAGTATACAACCCTTTGAGATTGGCTTTTAAAAACTCACCACAATGCCCTTGAGATTCATTCAAGTTGTATGTATCAATAGCTCATTACTTTTTATGGCTGAGTAGTGTCCCATGGCATGGATGTACTCCATTTGCTTTCTATTCACTCACTAAGGACTGTTTGGCTTGTTTACAGTTGTGTTTTTTGAGATGGAGTCTCACTCTGTCGCCCAAGCTGGAGTGCAGTGGCACCATCTCAGCTCACTGCAAGCTCCACCTCCCAGGTTCATGCCATTCTCCTGCCTCAGCCTCCTGAGTAGCTGGGACTACAGGTGCCTGCCACCATGCCCGGCTAATTTTTTGTATTTTTAGTGGAGACGGGGTTTCACCATGTTAGCCAGGATGGTCTTGATCGCCTGACTTCGTGATCTGCTCGCCTCAGCCTCTCAAAGTGCTGAGATTACAGGTGTGAGCCACCGCACCTGGTCAATTTTTTTGTATTTTTTAGTAGAGACGGGGGTTTCACCATGTTCCCCAGGCTGATCACAAACTCCTGACCTCATGATTCACCGGCCTCGGCCTCCCAAAGTGCTGGGATTACAGGTATGAGCCACCACACCCGGACTGTTTTCAGTTTTTGACTATTAAAAATAAAGCCACCATGACATTCATGTACAGAGTTTTGTTTGAACATAAGTTTTGGTTTGTCTAGGATAAATACCCAGGAGTGTCATTGCTGGGTGATATAATAAGCATATGTGCAACTTTATAAGAAACTGTCAAACTGTTTTACAGAGTGATTATGCCATTTTATAGTCCTACCAGCAATGTATGAGAGATCTGGTTGCTCTGCATCCTCACCAGCATTTAGTGCTGTCAGTACTTGTTATTTTAGCCATTTTAATAGATGTGCGGTAGAATCTCATTGTGGTTTTAATATGCATTTCCCTAATGGCTAATGACACTGAACACTGTTTTACATTTTTATCTGCCATCTGTATATCTTCTTTGGTGAAATGACTATTCAAGTCTTTGATCCATTTTCTAACTGGACTGTTTATTTACTTACTCTGAGTTTATATGGTTCTTTATATATTCTGGATATGAGTCCTTTGTTGGACACATGATTTGCACATATTTTCCCCTAGTCCATGCCCTGTCTTTAAGCCTTAGTGTTAATTGCCATGAAAGCACTGTCAACAAAGTCCAGACCTCAGGAAAGGTGCAGAATGGAGTTCTCTGGGTATAGTCAAATCACCTGAAGAGCCCAGAATAGGCGAATTAGAAAAAATTCTACACAGCCAAAGAAATAAACAGCAAGCTGAAAGATAGATCTGAAGAAATTAGCCAGAACGTGGCTCAGAGAAACAAAACGATGGAATATTTTAAAAATAATAATTTAAAACCTCAGACGGTTTAACCGATACCTAATAGGGATTCCAGGAGGAGAGTCTAGAGTGATGTTGTCCAATACAATAGTAGCCAATAGTCACATGTCACTACTTAAAATGTAAATTAATTAAAACTAAATGAAGCTAAAAAGGCAGTTCCTTGGTTGTACTGGTCACATTTCAGATGCTCAATAGCCACATGTGGCTGGTGGCTACCATACTGGACAGTGCAGATATAGAAAATTACAGGAAGTTCTACTGGACAGTGCTGATCTAGGCCATGAAACAAGTCTGAACCAATTTCAAAGAACTGGTATGATACAGATGTTTTGTGGAAATAAACTAGACGTTAGAAATTAAAAACAAAATAGTTCCTACTGCCTCCTCTCACCTTTTGCCCTGTTACAATTCCACCTCTCAACGTCTTCATGTTCTTGATGAGAATGTTCCACGGCACTAAGTTCCCCAGAACCCGCCAGTCTCTGAAGACAGAACATCCTGGACCGCCCCGCTCCACACCCCCACCCACGAAGTTCTCTAAAACACTGACCATGATAGCCTGGGGTAGGTTTCCACTTTAACATTCTGACCAAAATTCTCAACTCGATGCAGTCAGAGTCTGCGCAACCTGGGACCTCGAGCCAAGAAATCCTCAAGTGACCTTACTTGGCAAAACCAACGACACAACGAAATACAGGTCTCAAGCGATTTACAGCTCGGTGCTTACCAACTCGGTGCTTATCAACTCGGTCACCGGCCGAGGGGCAGCCCTCTGGCGCCGCAGCCCCGCCTCTCTATGACGTCACACGAGGAGCCCTGAAGTGGCGGTCAAGCTTGAGGCGTCATCTGGCTGCGCCTAGTGGGCCATTGCCTTACAGTTGCTGAGAGGAGGCGAGAGGCGGGGACGCTAAGGCCAAGATCATGTCTGACTGGGAGAGGTTTCCTTGGCAGCAGAGGACGCTAGGTTTGGGATGAAAGAAGCTGGGCAGATGCAAAATCTGGAGAGCGCGAGGGCCGGGCGGTCAGTTAGCACCCAGACTGGCAGCATGACCGGTGAGTGTCCCGGACCCTGCTCCCGCCACCCTACCTTTCGCTCTGTCCTGTGCGTCTCCCGTCATTGAACTCCAGATTCCTTGTCTGCACCTCTTTGCCTCCCCTGCTGCTTCTGGATGTCTCCTGCTTGCCCTCTCCGTGTCCCCTCCTCAGTCGCCAGAACCGCTCGGCTCGGTCGCACCGGCTTTTGAAGTGTGACTTTTTAACCCCTCTTATTTGTTTCTCACAGGACGTAGAGCTGGGGCTCTGAGGTCAAAGAGCCTGAATATTTCCAAAGCGCGCTTTTGCCTTGATTTCCAAATTAACCGCACGTGACGCTTTCCTGTATTTCCTGTATTTCGACTGCTTTACCGTCGAAGGTCAGCGCATTTTTCGGGCTTTTCTTTTAGCAACGCCCCAGTACAGTCCAAAGAAAAGCTTGCACCACGACGACGTCAGATGCGAAGACTTTTCACAGCTTGCTTTCGGTTGTCCCCCCAGCAATGTGTATTAGCTGTACCGTTTTTTCCTGCAGGGTGAGGGCTGGAGAAAGAGGGCCCAACTTTTTAAGTGGAAAAGGAGGTAGCCACGACTAAGACTGAAGCGTCTCCTGCTAAGATACTCTCTTATACCCTGATCTTTTTCTGTGCCTCATGCGAAAGCAGCTGGGCTTATGCTGCAGCACCCAAGTGGCATTGAGATTGGCTCCCTTTTTCGCCATTAGTAACACGTTTTAAAGTGTTTGTCGTCTCTTTTGTAGGTCAGATACCAAGACTTTCTAAAGTCAACCTTTTCACTCTGCTCAGCCTCTGGATGGAGCTTTTCCCAGCAGTAGAAGCCCAGAGGCAAAAATCTCAGGTATAATTTGTTTCATAATTTTTCCCCTTAGAAACGCAATGGTTTAAAATCTGAGTTTATTGCTCCAGTTTCTGTCATACCTAAAACCAAACTTAACAAGCCTTAAGATTTTAAAATTACCTTTCTTGATTAACATGACACTTTATAATTCCTAGCTATAATAAGTCATATTCCATTCTAAAAATACTTTCTGAGACTGCCATGTTTATCAGGTACTAATGGTATTCATATGTCAGTTTGGCTAATAAGATTATTGTCTATACCACATAATTTCCCCCAATTGTATATACTGTTGGTGTTTTATCTAGGTAGTTTGCCCCTCTGCCACAGAAATATATAAATTGCCTGGAGATAGAGACCATGTCTTATTTTACCTAGCATATACCCTTTACCATCTACCATTATATGAATGCTAATTGGTTAATGTTGGATGGAAGTACTCTCTTTTTGGATCTTGAAAGACAGGATCCAAATAGATTAGAAATGGGCTGGGTGCAGTGACTTACACCTGTAATCCCGGCACTTTGTGAGGCTGAGGCGGGTGGATCACCTGAGGTCAGGACTTCAAAACCAGCCTGGGCAACATAGTGAAACCCTGTCTCTACTAAAAATACAAAAATTAGCTAGGCATGGTGGTATCCACCTGTAGTCCCAGCTACTCAGGAGGCTGAGGCATGAGAATCACTTGAACAGTTCTCATGGATGAGAATCGTTGGAGGTTGCAGTGAGCTGAGATTGCACCACTGCACTCCAGCCTGGGCGACAGAGTAAGACTCCGTTTCAAAAAAAAAAAAAAAAATCAGAAATGTATAGTAAGAATAATCATAAAAGCCAATATATTGGAATTGGAAGAATGGACATGCTACATCTTTTCTTTCTCCTACCCTTGGGGCAACAAGGTGCTAGGTTCTCATTTTCCTCCATGCATGGAATGGCATGATGCTAGGTTCTCATCATTTCTGTTTGATAATTTTGGAAGCTTAGGGTGTTGGCATTTATTTTTATAGGAGGCCACGACCATTGGAAAATAATATTAGGTTAAGTTGAGCATTTAAGACATTTTTGAAAACAGAGGTAAAAGGAGAGGGGTGGGGCAGAAAATTACCCATGGCTTCTCATCACTCTAACAACATTACTGTTAACATTTTGGTACTTCCAATCTTAAGCATAAGGTTTTTTATTTTACTCTTACAAAGTTGTAGTTATATTCTGCATGTACTCGCTGAGGTTTCTAACTTGCCAATAATTCTGCAGAAAGGTTGCTTTAGATTTTCCAGAAAAAGACTATAAATCCTTAAATTCCCACAGTGCTCTTAGGAGACTACCTACTCTTTTCATTTTACTGTGGATGAGGTTTTGTGCTTGGCACTGGAGACACAAAGCAGAAAAAACATGGTCTTTGTTTTCTAATGAGAAGAAACACTAGGCATTTAAACAATTAAAATAGAATTGGTGGAGTGAGTACACAGTATAAGCAGGGATGTTGGCAAGACTGGGAGCCAGGCTCTATATGGGGAAGTGAAGGAAGGATTCACAGAGAAGGTCATATTTGCACTGAGACATGACGAATGAGTGGACATTTGCCCAAGCCAAGGAACTCTACATGGAAAAGCTTGGAGGAATGAGAGAATTTGTGGTCCTCAGGCCAGAAAGTGAAATTAGGTAGAGGGAAGAGACTGGAAAGGAGCTCGACAATGTAGACAGGAATCATAAAAAGCACTGTATGCCTTGCAAAGGAGTTTAGATTTTATCCTATCGATATAGGAATTGCATTGAGGAATTTTAACGGGATGTGAGGATATTCACTTCTCATAATAAAATGATATCTCTTGGCATAGTTTCCTCCCCCAATTCCTATGTGAAGTGTTTTATAGATAGTAAAACATTATTTAAAATGTTATACATTGTTATTCCATATTTCTTACCCTCATCACCCACTCTGGCTCTACATTTTACTAATGGCTGAGAAAGCTCTTCATTTCCTTCATTAATTCTGAAGTTCCTTTATTCCTTCTACTTATTAATAGCTTAGTATTATTTTATGAAAGTAGATATCCAAGCTGTTAGGGATTTTGTGTTTGTGTGTGTTTTTTTTTTCCAGATAAAATTTATTTTGAAGAGCCAGATTAGAAACAAATATTTAGAGAGTTAAGACTTTCAGGCTGGGCGCAGTGGCTCATGCTTCTAATCCCAGCACTTTGGGAGGCTGAGGCAGGCAGATCACAAGGTCAAGAGATCAAGACCATGGTGGCCAACATGGTGAAACCCCATCTCTGCCAAAAATACAAAAAGTAGCTGGTCGTGGTGGTGCGCACCTTTAGTCCCAGCTACTCGGGAGGCTGAGGCAGGAGAATCGCTTGAACCTGGGAGGCGGAGGTTGCATTGAGCCAAGATCACGCCATTGCACTCCAGCCTGGCAACAGAGTGAGACTCCATCTCAAAAAAAAAAAAAAAGAAAAGAAAAATAAAAGACTTTTAAAAACTGAACATATTAGAGATTGACTACAAATTTTTAAAAGACATTCTTTCTTTTGTAAATATCCATATTTGATCTCATTTTAGTTCTATTTTATTTTTCATACACACTACATCCTGTGCTGAAATTTTTTTCAACAGGCACAAGTTATATTTAATTAGTGAAAAATGATATTTATGTTTCTATTAGGAAGGAATTGATTGGCCAACTAATTGTTGAAGTTTGTTTGCAAATAATACACACCCAACTGTTACCTCATACTCTATAGAGAAAACTGTGGATCTGAGAAAACTGAGATAAAGCTTTCAGTTAGCATTTTGTTTAAAAAAATACTACCAAGGAAATTTCAAAACTATATTAGCAACAAAATTTTATACAACTTTATATCGTGTTTAACAAAAGATCAGGGTTATGAGTCTCTTTTCTCCCAAGCCAATGACTCTTAGTTTTCCTGGCATCTCGTTCCTTCATCTGGTGGACACCATGGAAGTTTTCTAAATGAAAAGAAATGTCTTTTGTTTCAAATATTTTATTTGGGATCTTATTTAGAAATCTGACTCATACGCATGTCTATTTAAGCCTTTTAAATGGAAAGTTAAAACACATAGAAATGAGTACAGAAGGCATCAAAACAAAGAACATCCATGTCTTCAGAAAGCCAGGCAACCTGGAAGTAGGATTGACTTGGCTATATGAAAGGTTATCATTCTTAGCTCCTGGTCCTGGAGCTTGCCCAGCTCCTATTCACTGCATTGGTGTCTTTCCAGCTGTGCTCCCACACCCATGTCTCCTAGCACTACAACTCTCTCACCATGGTCTTGGGTAGGCCTCTACTTCTGTTCTTACTTACAGGCCTTGCGACTCTGAGGCACTCGGGGAGGGAGAGCCTCAGGATTACTCTGGCAGTGATCTGGGTGAAATAGGCTTTTGCATGTTAGCTTGGGAACTTGACTATCATTTTTAACATTGTTTATATGAGAAAAAATGTGTTTTAAATTCCAAAAAAGGCAGAATTACCAAGTATTTAGAACATGATTGTAGGTTGTCAATTACTTGTCTATTTAATGTCAATAAAGCAGAAGTATATAATTTCATTAGTTCTTCTCATATCATGGCCATTGCAAAAAAGCAAGACCAGTGATAGTGTGGGGGAAGAATACAGAATGAAAGGGAGCATATTGTACTCCACTTTTATAGTGTTATTTATTGTACAAACATTATCATTGAAACTGAAGACTGAATCAATAGCTGCAACATTTTTAAATGTTTTTTATTTATATTTTAAATGTTTCTCTTGGATTTTCCTTTTTGTACTAGTTAATATCCACATAATTTTGCAGGTAGTTGCAGTCATAGCAGGAATACAATTTTATATTTGACAGTTTCAGTACTGTTACAGGGTTAAGTTATTTATTTTAAATTATACAATAAGAATACATCTAAATTTCATATACATATAGTATATGCTGCCATTGTGTTTATACTTGTAGAAATATTAAATTCCTCGAAATGTTACCCAATTTTGTGCCTAGTATTTCTTTACCATTTACTATAGTATATTTTTTCCAGTATTATTTGCACATGGTATTCGTAGAGTTGAGTACAAACTTTTTCCTATTAAGAGAAAAAAAACTTCTTTAAGCTAAAGTAATAAGATTGTTTCACTTAAATTCTTTAGTCTGCTTTTGCTGTACAGAGTAAATAATAGAAACACCAAGATGCAATTAGACATGTAATGTATTGGAAATACTGCTTTTGATACTTTACCAACCTTTTGTCTTACTAAAAGTATTTTTATGAATTACCAAAGTAATAAATGTTTGTTATTTTTAAAATGAACAGAAGAAAAGTTTTATCATAATTCTACCTCCTAGAGACTAATTACTTTTTAAAAATTGTTTCTCAGTCTTTTTTCTCTTATTTTCTTTACTTACATGAGATCATTTAACTCTGGATTCTACCCTTTTCACTTAACATAAGAAAATACTTATACTGTAATGTTAGTATAAACATTAGAGCAGCACCTTAGTCTAGTGTCTTAGAGTAGCCCGTGGTTTTACAGCCAGCCTGCCTGGGTTCAGATTCTGACTCCGCCTTTTACTAGTTGTATAACTTTGGGTAACTTTACCTCTCAGTGTCAGCTTCCTCATCTGTAAAATGAAATGTTACTGGTATATACTACATGAGGCTTTTATGAGAAATGAATGAGTTAATATTTGTAAAGGTCTTAGTGCCTGGCACATGTTAGGTACTATGTGTTTTTTTGTTGTTGTTGTTGTTCTTGTCTCCTTATTTATTTATTTTAATAGAGATGGGGTCTTGCTATGTTGCCCAGACTGGTCGCTAACTACTGGGCTCAAGCAGTCTGCCTGCCTCAGCCTCCCGAAGTGTTAGGATTACGGCATGAGCCACCGCACCTAGCCTCCTAACTCTTTCCATTGTGTCTTCTGGTACCTTATGCTGAAGGCCCTCACTGTACTTTTCCAGAACAGAAGCAATGTAGCATAATGGTTAAGACAATGGATCTTGGGCTGGATCTGGCATATCCACTTATTACCTGTGTGACCATGTTGAGTTATTTAATCTTTCTCAGCCACAATTTCCTCATTTGTAAGACGGAAATAATAGGCGCTACTTTATAAAGTTATAAGGATTAAATGAGATAATTTAGGGCCTGGTACATGATAAACATGCAGTAGATGTTAGGTACTATTATTATCATCACTCGTATAATTATTACCACTACTAGCACCCACATCCTTACCGTTTTTCCACTGACACCATCACTTCCTCTACTTCCTGTTCTATTTGAACAGAAACCTCATTCGCAGAACATGGGTTTTCCTATAAACTTCTTTTTGAAGGTTGTTTCTTTTCTAGCATCCAGCACTTGTTTCATAAGACTAGCAGGTCAACATTTACAGAGTTTCCCATTCCTACTTTAAAACTTTATCAATTTATTAACTATCCCACCAATTTTTTTTTTTTTTTTTTTTTTTTTTTTTTTTTTTTGAGTCTTGCTTTGTTGCCCAGGCTGGAGTGCAGTGGCCTGATCTCGGCTCACCGCAGCCTTCCCCTCCCAGATTCAAGCAATTCTTCTGCCTCAGCCTCCCGAGTAGCTGGGACTACAGGCGCGTGCCACCATGCCCAGCTAATTTTTGTATTTTTAGTAGAGACAGGGTTTCACTATGTTGGCCAGGCTGGTCTCGAACTCCTGATCTCATGATCTGCCCACCTCGGCCTCCCAAAGTTCTGGGATTACAGGCGTGAGCCACCACACCCGGTTATCCCACCTATTTTGGAGCTCACAGAATTCTATGCCACTTTCTTTGTCTTAATCAACTTACTTGATAGTCACTTTCCTGTTTTCATAAATTATAAGCCCTATGAGAGCTGCATCTTCAGCAACTAGGCTGCCATATAGCAAGGGTTCAATAAGTATTTGTTGAACTAATAAATGAAGGACTTTGGTCCCTGCCTCAAAACTTTCTTTCTACTTCCAGTTTTCACTTTTCCCCTCATGGATATACCTGTATTAGTTTTCTATTGCTGCTATAACAGATGACCACAAAGTTGGTGGCTTAAAACAACACAAATTTATTATACAGTTCTGTAGGTAAGAGGTCTGAAATGGGTCTTACTGTGCTAAAGTCAAGGTGTTGGCAGAGCCAGATTCCCTTCAGACGCTCTAGGGGAGAAACTTTCCTTGCCTTCTCTACCTGTGGAGATTATCTGTTTTCCTTGGCTCATGGGCCTCTTCCATCTTCAAAGCCAGCAGTGGCCAGTCAGGTATTTCATGTTGCATCACTGACTCTCCCACACCCCTCTTTTACTTATAATGACCCTTGTGATAACATTGGGCCAATCAGATAATCAAGGATAATCTCCCCATCTCCAAGTAGGTGGTTAGTGCCTCAGTTCCAGCTGCAACCTGAATTCCTCCTTGCTATGTAACAAAACATAGTCATAGACTCCAGGGACTGGGACAAGGAGATCTCTGGTGGGGCATTATCCTATCAACCACAGTCCCGATCTAATACTTTTGCTACATAGTTCCTTATCTTCTCTATTCCAATTAATTTACCTCTATTCCACTTTAGTCATTCATGGCCACACTTTGGACTTTTCCATTACTCAAAACTGCCACAATTCTGAAACCATAAACTTCAGAATTTTATATTCTGATCACAATTTCCAGTCCTTCTTTGTTTTGGGAAAGTAAATAAAGGTTTATTTACTAGGTAAAGTAGTATGAACTTGATCTGAACAAAGTGGGAAGTCATTGTAGAGTTTCATCATGGAAAAAAAATGGTCAAAGCCAAGGACGCCAGCCTTTAAATATGGGAATGTTGAATTAGTCATATGTCTTATGTGCTAATCTTTTTTTTCCTTAATCTGATTATTATTAGAAAAATGAAGAGGGAAAGCATGGACCCTTAGGAGATAATGAAGAGATGACCAGAGTATCTACTGACAAAAGACAGGTAAATTTTTGTGATTTCACATATATGTATGCTCATAATGACAAAGTAAAAGGAATAGTATAAAGTAGAATAAAAGTGCCTCCATTTCTGCTTTCAAGGGAGTTTTTAAAATACTCTTCTAAAAATGGTCTGTATATTTACAAGACTATATGTCACTCCTTTTAAAAAAAAAAAAAATTACAGGTGGGATTATTCTGTGCTATGTCCTACATCTTGCTTTTAAAAAAAAAAAACAAACAAACTCTTGAGAGTTCATATAGATGTGTTAAGAAATACTCTCCCTTAGTTCTCTCACACTTCCACACACCTTGCTGGGTATACCAAGAATGCAAGGCCCTAACCTTGCATTTACTTTACCTAGTAAATAAACCCAGAGTTTTACCTGGGTCATTTCTCAGAGTTGTGTTTGCAGTGATCAGCCCTGAAGGTTGAGGTAATGTCTTCCCCCAGGACAAAGAGCAAACTTTCTTACTTTCTGCTGTGAAATAGTAGGACCCTCAAGCTCAGTGTTCCTTTCCTATAACACTACCCACCCTGTGTCCAGGCAGCTATCTGTGCCCATCTGTATTACCCATCATGGGGCTTGAGGGCAGGGAAACAGAAATGGTGCTCATACTGACTGCTGTGCTGCAAATAATAAAGTTCATTGTTTCTAACCCAGAAGTTTCATGTTTTCTGCTAATATCTATGAAACAGTAATAGGTTAACTTATTAGTTGGTAAGTAGGGTAAAATCAAAGTGCAGACTTGAAAGATGAACCTTGTTCTTTTTAATATTGTATAGTATTTCCTTGTTACTTTATTCTTTTGAGTTTTCCAGAGGTTCCAATTCATTGGGTGCAGAGTGGAGACTAAGCATGTATGTTTTGAAGAGTTACCTTGATAAATATTCCTAGAGATTTCCTAATTCATTCTGAGTGAGCCCAGTAGAAATATAGAAATAATTTGTCTCAGAATATTTACATGTTTTCATATTAAGAAAGGCCAAGGGGAAAAAATAGTGAATCACCATTTAAGTCAGTGTACTAGTCCATATACAAAACATATACAAAACAGACTGTCCCCTTTTGCCCATGTTTTAGTGTAAAACTCTGTGACATAGATGACTTGCCAAAATGTTAGCGAAGTGAAGGAAAATCAAATTCAGAGCAGTGATTCACTGAAAAGATTCAGTCCTCTGGGATTTGCAGTAAATGGAAGTGCCAAAATGGAATGCAACTTGAGCTTTTATTTGTTTTGTTGAGTTTCAGATGGAAAAATCTTTGTCTCAAACTTGATATTTTGGCCTTACCTAAATGCAAAATGAAAAAAAATGTATTTTCTAAGGTGAAAAGGACTCTAGACAAAAAAGTGATAAAGTCGACCCAAAAGGTGGTTCTAATAACAAATAAGTTGATGAGTATGCTTCTCACTTAATAGGAACAATTTTTTTTTTTTATGTTTTTTTCTGGCTTTATTTCTGTCTGCTTAACTAGGAAAATCTAAAGCTGAAATCATTCCCTTGCTGCCACTTCCACTGGTCATGTTGATTCAATTTAACAACAGGAGCTCTGTCAAGATCTTTTGATGAGGCAACATTACTTCTTTTCCACGATGATACTGGCCAGGCATGGTGGCTCACGCCTGTAATCCCAGCACTTTGGGAGGCCGAGGCGGGTGGATCACAAGGTCCAGAGATCGAGACCATTCTGGCTAACACGGTGAAACCCCGTCTCTACTAAAAGTACAAAAAATTAGCCAGGCGTGGTAGGAGCTACTCAGCTACTGCGGAGGCTGAGGCAGGAGAACGACGTGAACCCGGGAGGCGGAGCTTGCAGTGAGCCCAGATCACGCCACTGCACTCCAGCCTGGGCGACAGAGCAAGACTCCGTCTCAAATCAATCAAACAATCAATCAATCCAGCCTGGGCGACAGAGACTCTGTCTGAAATAAATAAACAAACAAACAAACTTATTGAAAGTATTCAGAAATCAGTAATAATATATACTTTGCATTTGAGGAGCATAAAACTCTAGAAATTTTGGTAGGGAGAGGAAAGTGTTCACAAATTCAAGGTCAATGTAAAGCTTATTTTAAAAGCCAATACAGATAGGTTTTTCATATTTTACATACATTCCTAGGTATATATTTTGTAAAGCAGAGATTTTTGTATTCCTTTTTAAATGTCTTTCTAGTTTAGGAGATGGTTGGTTAACTCAGAAATGGAATTCCATAAAAGCTTCTCTGTTCCTTCTTTTTTAGATATTTTACAAATTTTTCTCCATAATCTCAAACATTTATACTCAAAACTGAAACTGAAAATTGACTAGTTAATATCGCTTTGGTCTGATCCTTAAAGTGATTTCAGATATGCTGCACTGGGGAATAAGTATAGGGTAAAATCCCTTTGGAAGGGGATGGGGAATAGGGACAACCTCTCCTCAGCCCAAGCTCCCCTCATGTAACAGTCAGTCCCCAGCCCAAGGATCAGGTTTACATTCCTTCAGAGGCTTTTGCTGTGAAAACAGCATAGATTATTTTGTGCCTTATGCAGAACTGACTTTTTTTTTACCTTAGTCTGTTTTATCTGATATTGTTATACCAGCTTTGATTAATATTTGCTTAAGTTGAGACACTTTAGGTTCAATAGTAACACAAAACCTTCACTCAAAGAGATCCACTGGACGTGCTTAGAACCCCAGTCAGTCCACAGTCTGCAGGGCTTAAATCAGGCTCAGCCAGTCCCTTTCTCTGTGGAATACTGCTAAGATAGCTCACGCTCACTGCTCTAACGTCAAGTTCTCTCATCCTTTTTGACACTTGATGGTATGTCTTCCTTCTTTTTGTTTTTATAACTTACCTATAGTAGGAGGTGGGACCCAACTATAGTAGTCTAGACTGCAATAGTGTTAAAAATTGATACAGCCAGTAGTTTCTAGAAAGAAATTGAGAATTATCTTTACTTTGGTCAATATCTAAAATATTTTAGAATTTAAGATGACCTCTGCTTTACCATCTGCCTTTTACCATCTGTGTGTCTTTCAGAAAGTCATGTAAACTTTCTGGGCTTTACTTATCCATGTGTAAAATCAGGGCTTTATATTCTTTATTACCATCTAGAAGCTTAATACTAAATGGTACTACACTCAATGCTATAAGAAACAAGTCAAATTGACCTAGTTCTTGCCCTTTACTAGGTTATAATGTATCTAATCTTTCACTAGAACAAATTAATGATAATTACACGCTTAATCGTTCGATTAGTAGAGCTTAGGTTTAGAAAATTTCTGGCCTAAAGTCAACACTAAAGTTTCAGAAGCTTTTTGGATCTAATGAGAAATGTGCTTTGTACAAACTCTGTTTAGATAAAGAATTAAACAAAACTTCCATTTTATTAATAATTCAAGTATAATCCATAATGTGATTATTAGGTGTTATAACTAATAAGTTATTTTATATCTTAATGTAGGTAAAGAGAACTGGTCTTGTGGTGGTGAAAAACATGAAAATTGTTGGTCTCCACTGTTCTAGTGAAGATTTACATGCCGGGCAGATTGCTCTTATTAAACATGGGTCAAGGCTGAAAAACTGTGATCTTTATTTTTCCAGAAAACCATGTTCTGCTTGTTTGAAAATGATTGTAAATGGTAAGTGCAGAAAAGGGTTTGTTGGGGATTAAGAGTATTTATCTGAGATGGGCATGGTGGTTTATGCCTGTCATCCCAGCACTTTGGGAGGACAAGGCAGGAGGATCGCCTGAGCCTAGGAGTTCAAGAATAGCCTGTGCAACATAGGGAGACCCCATCACTACAAAAAATAAATTAGCTAGGCATGGTGGTGCATGCCTGTAGTCCCCACTACTTGAGAGACTGAGGTGGAAGGATTGCTTGAGCCCAGGAGTTCGAGGATACAGTGAGCCATGATTGCGCCACTGCACTCTAGCCTGGGTGACAGAACAAGACCCTGTCTCCAAAAAAATAAAAAAAAAAAGAAGAAGGAAAGAGCATTTGTCTGAGAGCAGTGGTGGGCACACATTTGCTAAATACCACAGAGATAATTTAGAAATATATATCTCAAAGTCAGGTGCTATGGCTCGCACCTGTAATCCCAGCTACTCAGAAGGCTGAGGCAGGAGAATTGCTCAAGCCCAGGAGTTCAAGGCTGTAGTGAGCTCTGATCGCTCCACTGCACTCCAGCCTGAGTGACAGAGCAAGACCCTGTCTCTAAAAAACAAAATAAAAAATATATAAATATATATCTGAAGACAGTTTGATACATTATAAGAGTAACATCAGAAAACATGGATTCTGGTATCATTCATGTCTACTAACCTATTAAATGACCCTCAGTGTATGAGTAGACTAATGCTAACTGCTATAACAAAACAAAATTTCAGTGGCTTAGGGTACTAGATATTTATCACTTGTATAATAGTCCAACGCATGTGTTGCTAAACAGCAGGCAGCTTTCTCCATGTGGTTGATTCCTGGGCTAGGCATCTTCTGTCTCATTGCTGTTGTCGTTTCTAGGGCTTTGAGTCCTCTGTATCCAGAGGCAGACTGAGAAAGAATGAGTAGAGAGGGTGAACCTGCTTCTTAAAACCCTGACCTGGAAGTCGCATACATTATTTCTGTTCTCATCCATTGTGAGAACTGTTGTTCCCACTGGGCAACTGTCTTTCAGTGACTACTCTACATTTTGGAAGGAGGAACACAAATTTTTAATGTATAGCCATCCATCCACACCAGGCTATTCACTAAACCTCTCTGTGCTTATGATTCTGTTTTGCACCCAGGTATATGCCAATCATTCTTTCATTTAAAAAGTATGCATCCTGTTGCATAGGCATCATGGCAGATCAAAAAACAAACAAAAAAACTAATGTGCTTCCTAATCTTTACCCTCAAGGTGTTATTTGGGGGCCAAAATAACAATTTAATATGATGCATTATCTGGTACCATATCAGTGATACAGGTTGTAAGTGATATTTGGTCTCAGAGGAGAAATAGTGATCCCTGCAGATTGCCATATTATGAAAGGCTGAGATTAAGCTTGATCTTAATGCATCATAGGTAGAGGAAGAGGAACACATTCCTGGTCAGGGGGAACAGTGCATATAGAGTCATCAAGTTGTAAGAAGCAAAGTTCTAGGGTCAGTATTTGAAATGGAGAATTATTCTTGGAGAATAGTGGCAGATGAATTATAATGATAGTGGAGAACTTTGAAGAACTGTAGGGCCTTTGAACTTTATCTTATGGAACAGAGTTCCTAGGCCTGTTTTGAGAAAGAGCTGTTTTTATTTACATCAAAGCCTTGAGAGTAATGATCAGATCTATGTCAAGGTCAGTGCCTTGAGCTATAAATGGCAGAACTTCTAGAAGAAATGGGTCATGTGGCTAGAAACCTCTTGGCCTGCAACAAGTGTTTTGAGCAGGTGGGTATCTGTGGTAGTGATTGGATTCTATATTCTCAACTACAGTTACCAATACGTTAAAAAAAATAGGTATGAAAGTGGTGGTGGCATTTTTTTCTCCTTTTCCCAACTAACCAGGCAGATTGGACATGTGTTTTATCACTTATGTTCAACTGACCTACAGTTCCTGTTTGTAGGCAATGTGGAGACATTGAAGATTCTTGAGAAAGATGTAACATGATTGAAATTTTTGTTATTGCTGTTATTGAATTGGAACAGGGAGAGATTAGAGATTGGGAGCTTGATTAGTAGACCATTGCATTAGGCAAGGTTTAAAATAGGATTCAGATGATGACATTGATACAGAAATGAAAGAATGTGAAAGAACCAAAACATTTGTTGGCTGATCTGTTCTAGATCAAGGGAGAAAAATGAATAAAAGATAGTTGTGCTTTGTGCTGAGCTAACTGTGCTGAAAGCAGTCTTAATAGCCTTGGAGCCACAAATTAGAGGGAAGAATAGGAGAGTGCAGTTCACTGCTTGATGTCTTAAGATATTTGATCCTGACAAGAAAGATAATGAAGTATGGAAAGTCAGGAAGGATCTACAATGGAAATGCTTGTATATTGGTGTTGGACAATATATAAGCAAAATTGCTATGTTAGATTAGGCTTATGTATTATATTTAGTTATCTTAGGAAGGGAGCATGGCTGAACCCCATGCTACAGCTAGATTACTTTAGTTAGAATTGCTGTTACCTCAGTTACAAGGCAAATGTAGCACTCTCCAAGCATGGTCTGTGGACTCCTGATGGTTCACGAGGTCAATGTTATTTTCATAATAACACTACCTTCAGGCTGGGCATGGTGGCTCATGCCTGTAGTCCCAACATTTTGTGAGGCTGAGGTAAGTGGATTGCTTGAGCCCAGGAGTTTGAGACCAGCCAGGGCAATATGGAGAAACCCCTTATCTACTAAAAATAGAAAAATTAGCTAGGCGTGGTGGTGTGTGCCTGTAGTCCCAGCTACTTGGGAGGCTGAGGTGGGAGGACCACTGGAGCCTGGGATGCGAAGGTTGCGGTGAGCTGTGATCCCGCCTCACCAATGCACTCCAGCCTGGGCCACAGAGCAAGATCCTGTCCCAGAAAGCAAAAACAAAAACACTACATTCATACTAATGGTACCAAAACAATGATAGGTAAAACTACTATTTCCGTATCTTTATTTTTATTTTTATTTTTTTTTGAGAGGGAGTCTCACTCTGTTGCCCAGGCTGGAGTGCAATGGCACAATTTCAGCTCATTGCAACCCCTGCCTCTCAGGTTCAAGTGATGCCCCTGCCTCAGCCTCCTGAGTAGCTGGGATTACAAGTGCGCACCACCATGCCCAGCTAATTTTTGTATTTTTAGTAGAGACGGGGCTTCACTGTGTCGGTCAGGCTGGTCTCGAACTTCTGACTCGTGATCTGCCCACCTCCGCCTCCCACAGTGCCGGGATTACAGGCATGAGCCACCACACCCGGCCTGTTTCCATATCATTAATCAAAACAGTCGTGCCATACCGCACTGGTAGTCATTGTACTCTTCACTGCACTCAGAGGGAAAAAAGAAAACCAGTTTTACATAAGAAAGTCCTTGATGAAACAGTAAAAACTATTAATTTTATTAAATCCCAACTTGAGTCTACATCTTTTTAATATTCTGTGTGAGGAAACAGGAGGTGGGTATAAAGTGCTTTTGCTACAGACCTAAGGTATGAAGATGGCTTTAAGGAAAACCATGTATGTGATTTATTTGAGTTGCAGACTGAATTATCTACTTTTTTAATGGAATATCATGAACTGACAGTGGTTAGACTTGGATATTTGGCAGATATTTTCTTGAAACTATAGTGAACCTGTCACTTTCAGATAAACAACTGACATTTTTTTATTGCCAGTGATAGAATTTGAGCTATCAAGTGAAAATTAGAATTTTGGAAAACTCATATTCTCCATTATGAGCCTGACAGCATCTCACCACTTAGACTCTTTTGATAGGATTGGTGGTGATACTAATGAATGGGATTTTTTTTTTAATATTGTGGAATCAGTAAATCATTGTTTTCTGGATGACCAATGCACAATGCTACAAAATCATGCATGAGTAAAAGCCATTCTAAGTGCAAGACAGACCAATGGACTTTAACCTAACAGTTCAAAAAGTTTATTGATATGGTTTCAGATTCTACATTGTAACTAACCTTTAAGAAACTATCCCTTGTCAAATTTTTATGTAGTGCCAAAGAAGAATATTCACAAGTGTCTGAAATGGCTGTTAAAATACTCCTTTTTCAACCGCATATCTATATGAGGCCAGATAATTTTCATATCCTTCAGTGAAAACAACATATTGCAACAGATTGAAAACAGAAGCAAATTTGAGCATCCAGCTGTTTTCTATTAAGCCAATTTTTTTTTTTAACAAAGCAAGTTACTTTATTAGAATTTTAAGCAATGTATAAGTGATGGAATCATTCTAACAACGCATCTATTCACTGCTTACAATTCCAACCAATTTCAGTTCTCTGATATGTAATGACAAGAGCGGAGACCTGTTCAAGTTCCTTCCACCAGTAAGACCCACAGCTCAAAGTTGTGGGAGTGATTAACTGAGCCATAGGCCTTCACACGTTTACCACATTAAAATACCACAGTGTTTTCTTATAAGGTCAACCACCTGGGAACTAATTAACATTAGCATTAAGACTTTAAATAAACTGTTAGGCACAGGGCTAGATCAGGCATTATAAAACTTTGTGGTGCCCTATTCAAGCCACACAAATTCCCAAATATTTTAGCTTGTAACAGGTTTGTCTTTCCCCTCTTGAGACAATTATTTGGGTACTTGGTTTTGGAAATAAGGTAATTCATGATGGAAGTTTCCTAGCTGTGATGGTACTCTAGGCAACTTCAGAGAATGAAGATAGAAATTATGCATGATTATATAACATGAAGAGTTAAATTTCTTTTACACACTCAGTTTCCATTCTCTGATTTCTGTTAGCTCTATAAACACATGTAAATCTTCTGCAGAGCTTTAAAGAGCTCTGAAAGGGAAAATACCATTCCATATATGGAATTGATAGCATAGTACAGGCCAGGGGCAGTGGCCCACACCTGCAATCCCAACATTGTGAGGCCAGTGGGAGGACCGCCTGAGGCCAGGAGCCCAAGACCAGCCTGGGCAACATAGCAAGACCCCGTCTCTACCAAAAAAAAAAAGTAGCTGGGTGTGGTGGTGCACACCTGCAATCATAGCCAATCTGGAGGCTGAAGCAGGAGGATTGATAGAGTATGGGAGTTAGAAGTTACAGTGAGCAATGATGTCACCACTGCACTCCAGCCTGGGTGACAGACTGGTCTCTATTAAAAAAAAAAAAAAGGTATAGTGATACACTATTAATTCTATATATGCTAATATGAGATAGCATCCATATAAACTACTATCAAGTCTTTATGTGCCAGCTACTGTAGTAAGTCTTCTCAAGTTTAACTCACTGAATTCATAATGAATTATGAGTTAGCTACCATTATTTCCCCCATTTTACAAATAGGGAAACTGAGGCTGGGAGACATTAACTTGCTGGCAAGTTAATTTTATTTAAATTTAATAAACATTAATAAACATTATTTAAGTTACTTGCAGAACTAGTATTTGAACCTACTTAATCTGATTCTAGAGCCTGTGCCATATAAACTCTTACCCACTATGCTATGCTATTCATTAGTATCCATTTAACAATTACTACTATTGCAATAGCTGCAATTATCACTCCTATAGTACAGGGGAATCTATCAAAGAAACACTCAGCTTTCACTTATCTATTTCTGAAAACATTTTTATTAAAATATAAGGTGCATTTCACTGATCTATTTTTATAATTGTCTATTTAAGTACTTTTATTATATGATGTAAGAAAAATGTTTGAAATGTCTTCTGGAATTAACCGGAACAAAATAAATGTGCAAAATTTAGAATAGAATTTTACAGAGTTCATAGGCCACCAAAGCCCATTCATGAAACCCTTCATGAAACCCATTCATGAGGCCAAAAGACAAAACAAACCCTCCCTGAAAATCTCAATTGGGCTTTTAATATTTAAATTTAAATGTCTATACGAATTCTGCTGCTCAATTTTGTCCTTCCATTCTTCTTAATTTTCCAGTGAAACTGATAACTATTATTTTTCCTTTTGCTATTAAGCCAAATATTAAAGATATTTGTAAAAATTTAAAACAATCTCATTCTTACAGATTTTTGTTTTGGAAAATATTTTTTTCATAAAGCAAATGTTATTTATATTAATGTATAACAGATTATTGTTATTTTTAATGAATTAATAAATATTTTAAATTTTGTTTTAATTTTCAAGTATGATAAATATCAGTAGATATATTTCACATAAATAAAGGTCTTTGTGGTCCTCAATAATTTGTAAGAGTGTTAAGGAATCCTGAGATCAAAAAAATTTGAGAAACTGTGCTTTAGCATTTGCCACTAATACACAAATGTCTGTCTAAAGAGGATTTTCCCCCCTTCTTAAATCAAGATTACTGGGAGCAACTAAGATGCCTAGATGAAAGGTTTACCATCACTGCTGGTTAGGAAATGGATTATGAGAATTCGAACAGAGGGAAGGTGAAATGCTACCAGAGGAAACACTCTGATATGAGGTTTGAGGCCTTCAAAATTGCTTTGCAGCATAAGCCACAGTGAGTCAGGAGTACCAGGGAGTGGATAGAATGTTCATTTGTTTAACTTAGACTTTTTAGTTCATCAATTATTTTGAAGGGTAGAACATTCTGTGGGCTATCTTTCTATTTGCTTCTGGGTACAATCACAAAAAAAAGTCTCTCCTAGCTGAAATTACATGCAGTAATAGCAAAGGGGTCTCTTCGTTGTAAACTGTTCATTAATTGAAGAACATTTGTGTACTTAACTATGTATAAGGCATCTCATCGTTCTATTTCAAATATAAATTAAAATTTTTTTTCACGTTTGTTATCCTGTTATGTTTTCTCTTTTACAAATTGTCTGTTCATATCTTTTTGTCTCTCTTTAGGCCTTATTCTTGTCAATTCATATGTGCTCTAATGAAATGAAATATTTTCTGTATATTAAACATTACTAACCTTTCCTTTGTCACACTGATTGAAAAATGACGTTTAGTTTGTTGTTTTGTCTTTAATTTTGTGAGCTTTAGAAAGTTAATATTGCCCTTCAAGCACCATCCCAACATCACATAAGAATTTTTTCATGTTATAAATTCTTTGTGGACATTTTTGATAACTGTTTTATTATGAGAAGGACCATAATTAATTCAGACATTCCCCTATTTTGGTCATTTAGGTTTTTGGGTTTTGGTTTTTTGTTTAACATTTTTGCTTGCTATTTTAAAGAATGCTGTGCATGCATGAGATTTCTTCTCTATATTTAGAATATTTTCCTAGAATGGATTCTCAGAAGAATTCTCAGTCTGTGGACAGGAACATTTTTAATGCATGGAAGAAGTATTTATTCCAGATAGAAAACTCTAGGCAATATTAGTTGTTCCCTGTAACATTTTAAAAAACAGCCATGGCACCATGGAGGACTCTGAGTATATAGTTTTAGCGCTGGGCTTTGGGATCACACTTCACAACACCAGTAATTCCACAAATGCATTCCCAGGAGCTGTGTTAGAAGCTGGGTAACTTTTTCTTGAAAAGGCCAGATAATAAATATTTTAGACTTTGCAGGCCATGTGGTGTCCATCACAGCTACTCAACTCTGTCACGCGAAGTTGAGCACCCAAAGACTATAGAAGTGAATGGGTGTGTGTGTCTGTGTTTCAGTAAAGGTTTATTTATGGACACTGAAATTTGAATTTCCTACAGTTTGATGTGTCACAAAATGTTCTTTTGATTTGTCCAATATTTTAAAATGTAAAACCCATTCTTAACCTGTGAGCTGTACATAGACTGGCAGTGGACTGGATTTGGCCTGTGGGTGGTAGTTTGCCAACCTTCAGGCTATATAATAGGTGACTTGGTAATAGACATTTATTATATTGAGGGTTCTAGATATACTGCAATGATAGGGTGGATTTTATCATGAAAACCCTAAATTCAGTATGTATCTCATAATTACCTTTCATATTTTGTATTTCAGCTGGAGTTAACCGAATTTCTTATTGGCCTGCTGATCCAGAAATAAGTTTGCTTACGGAGGCTTCTAGTTCTGAAGATGCAAAGTTAGATGCCAAAGCAGTGGAAAGATTGAAGTCAAACAGTCGGGCCCATGTGTGTGTCTTACTTCAACCTTTGGTGTGTTATATGGTGCAGTTTGTAGAGGAGACCTCTTACAAATGTGACTTTATTCAAAAAATTACAAAAACATTGCCGGATGCTAACACTGACTTTTATTATGAATGTAAACAAGAAAGAATAAAAGAATATGAAATGTTATTTTTGGTTTCAAATGAAGAAATGCATAAGCAAATACTGATGACTATAGGTTTGGAGAACCTGTGTGAAAATCCATACTTTAGCAATCTAAGGCAAAACATGAAAGACCTTGTCCTACTTTTGGCCACAGTAGCTTCCAGTGTGCCGAACTTTAAACACTTCGGATTTTACTGTAGCAATCCAGAACAGATTAATGAAATTCACAATCAAAGTTTGCCACAGGAAATTGCAAGGCACTGCATGGTTCAGGCCAGGTTATTGGCATATCGAACTGGTGAGTTACATAGATTGTAAATTGGGGCTGATTGGTTGGGTTGTATTTGTCTCTGAAGTGTTCGTCTCATTTATAGTAGAGTTCATTTACTCAGTTACTAAAGTTTTGCTGTTCATACAGTATAGAGAAGTTAGTGAGTCCCTTAGGTAGACAACTCTTTCTCCCAGCAGTTTTGGGATTCCTTGTGGCTTTATATTCAGTACCACATTTCTACATCAGGGCCTCATTAATCTAGGCCCTTCTTTCTGCTTCTTGCTTTTATGATTTCACTGTTCCTTGAGCCCTCCACTAAAGGTAGGACAAGAAGAGAAAGGAGAGGCCCAGTGCAGTGGTTCATGCCTGTAATTGCAACACTTTAGGAGGCTGAGACATGAGGATCGCTTGAGCTCAGGAGTTCAAGACCAGCGTGGGCAACATAGCACGGCCTCGACTCTGACAAAAAATACAAAAAAAATTAGCTGGGCATTGTTGTGTGTGGTGGTGCATGCCTGTAGTCCCAGCTGCTTGGGAAGCTAAAGCAGGAAGATTGCTTGAGCCCAGTAGTTTGGGGTTGCAGTGAGCTACAATAGCACCACTGTACTCCAGCTCCAGAGACACAGCAAGACTCTGTCTCCAAAAAAAGAAAAAGGAGAAAACCAAAATTACTCATTTTGTTGACTCTTCAATATTTTGATGTACTGAATACTTAACAAAAAGTTTTAAAAATCTTTGACATTAATTCAAAATAACTAATAGAATCAAGGTAAAGGAATGGTGATTATTGCAGATTCTTCCAGTTGCTGGTATGTCTTCAATCAGCAAGTTGAGAAATCAAACATTTTTACTGTATTCTATTAAGTTGTATATTTGGAAAAGGAAAATATTACTTGGAATTTTTCTTTGCTATGGTAAAAGACGGCATCTGTATTTCCAAACATGGAACGATATTTTCACATCTTACCTGATGTAAGATTTCTCAACGTAGAATCATGATCACTTTTTAAAATGCATCTTTGAAATAAAGGGGAAAAACATAGGCAGGAGGAGCAGTAGAGTAAGATTTGTTTGGGGAGAGTACTGCAGTAGGATTTAAAAATTATCCCAAGAAAGAAGAGAAAGTCATCCGAAAGGGTCTCTACAGATGCTGCTGGTCTGCAGTAGTCAACAGAAGGGAGGTTCTCAGCTGGCAGCAAATCAGAATCACCATTGAAACATTTATAAAAAGTACAGATGCTCAAACCCCAACCCAGACCTATTAAACCAAGTCCCTAACCAAATATGGCCAAGGTCTATGTTTCTAGAAGTTCTGCAAGGTGTTCTGATGTTCAGCAGAGTTAATAATTGCTCAATTCTTATTAAAGATTTTGATTCTGTAGGCACACATTATATGACCCCAAACAATTGCGTTGTGTAAAAGTCTGGTTTCATGTAATTATCTTCTATTGTGGGTTATATATTTGTTTCTTTGCCAACTCCAGCTTTGTAAAGAATTTTTCTGTAAACCATTCAAAAAGACAGAAAACATAAATGGGAACAGCTGTTGTAGCTATAATTCGCTAATTACCCTTCACTAATTAGAATTCAGCAGAACCCTGCCTGTGTTGCAGAGTAAGAGGGAGATGTGAATCTGCTGTTGTTTTACTGGATCTTAGTACCTCTTGCTTCTATACAACACCTTATCATACCAGCTATGATTCCAGTGTTTAAAGATGCAGTATGTATACATTTGCATTTATATTCTTTATTACTCTACTGTATAGTTATATTTTATATTAAATATATCCACTATTGTGCAGAATTTTGTACATAAAGCCCTGCTTATGCACTTGATGGGCAATTTAAAAGATTTTTCAAGGTTAATTGTTGGTGATTTTTTTGTTGTTGTTTACATGGAACTCAAATCCTGAATAGGGTGCAACTCCTCTGTCACTCACCGTACTCCACTGTGCACTCTTCCAGGGAAGAAACCATGTCTTAATCATTTTTGCCTTAGCACTAAACACAATGTGTGTTGAATGGATAAAACAAATCTTTTCATCCAAAGATAAAGGGTCCACAATCCCTTACGCAAAATTTTTGGAGCCAGATGAAAAGGAATTCAGAATTTTTCAGATTTTATTTTATTTTTTTGAGACAGGGTTTTACTCTGTTGCCCAGGCTGAGTGCAGTGGCACTCATGGCTCACTACAGCCCTCAACCTCTCAGCCTCAAGCAATCCTCCCACATCGGCCTCCTGAGTAGCTTGTACTACAGGTGAACACCACCATGTCCAGCCACTTTTTTGTTTTTTGTAGAGATGTCTCACTGTGTTGCCCAGACTGGTCTCAAACTCCTTGGTGTAAGCAATCTTCCTGCCTCAACCTCCCAAAGTTCTGGGATTACAGGCATGAGCCACCATACCCAATCCAGATTTTTAAAAGGTAATATGGTACATATACTGTTATATAGAACTCCCAATGGGGTCTGGGACAGTACCCTGTAATCACATTAATGCATACAGAGTGAAAAAAGTAGGAATATTTTCTCTCAGCAGAATAATTGAGGGCTATAAATAACTCAGTTTGGGTCAGATTTGACCACAAAGTAAGTGCATCAAACTTCAAAAAAACTTGATGTAAGAGATTTCAAATCAGGGACTCTGGACCTGTAATTCTTCCTTGATGATAAATAATAACAATGACAGTTTATGGAACACCTACTATGTGTCAAGCACTGAGCTTGGTGATTTATATATGTATCTCATTTAACATTGAGGGTACTTCAGTAAGGTGGATAGCCCTATGATACAGTGTGCTTCCAATTAAGCTTTAAATTTCACATTATTCAGTTTGGTTTGATGACCTCATTTCTCCCTAATTAATAGATGAAGATACCATTTCATTTAAAAATGTACATATGATTAAAATGAATTCCAAAACCTCTAACAACAGAGTTCTAAAATGAATTGAAAGTAGTTGCTTATAATTGCTTTTTGAATGATGAATAAAGAAGATCCATAGAAAAGTATGTTACTAGCCAGGTGCGGTGACTCCCGCCTGTAATACCAGCACTGAGAGACTGAGGCAGGAGGACTGCTTGAGGCCAGGAGTTCCAAAAGTATGTTTCTAGAATACCTGGAGGTAGCAAAAAAGTGGAAAGAATGTGTTTAGACTCTTGTGGGAAAAAGAGCAGGAGGAAGGCATCACGTCTTATCTGTCTGGTTTAAGTACTGAGTTGTGATCTCTTCATGTCTTGCTTTCTCATCAGATTAGGTGTTTTCCAAAGCTAAGGGTTACGCTTTCCTCCTGGACCACAGTGCTGATGATGAGAGTAGGCTGGAGTAATCAAAAAAGTTAACTTTTAAAACAGAACTCAGTGGTTCTCAGATATGAGTATGCCTGAGAATCAAGGTGGAGCTCAGGAGAAATGCAGATTCCTAAGTCTTACCTGCCTCTCTCAGAGAGGTTGATTTAGGGGACTTCCATGGAAGCCAGGAGTTGCCTCTTTTTTTTTTTTTTTTTAATTTTAAAAACAAGCATCCAGTAATTTTGATGCAAGAGGTCTGTGGAGCACCTTGGACACTGACATGACCACAGGATTGGGAGCTGAAATAACCACACTGTGTTCTAGAACAATAAGTTCCCCTCTGATTTTCAGTGATCAAAGAGCCCCAGGAATTTGACTCAGTGATCATAAGTTGACCTTTCCTTCAAAGTTGTACAGAGAAAACCCTGTGAATGACTAGATCATAGGGAGCAATTTCTGTAAAAATTATAGACATGAAAAGATTTTTGAGAAATTACCTCATCTGTCACCAGCCTGGGTACTGGGTGACATCAAATCTGTTTTATATGGATGAAAATTTATTCCTATTTTAAAAGACAAGTAGTAAAGAATGTTCTGTTGATGTAACCAACCTTAGCTAGGCAGTGGAGCTGCATGCTGATGGAAAAATCACATTTTTGTTTCCCTTCTAACAAGGTTTAGTCTGTCCCCAGGCTGAAACAGAAAAAGTGGCTTCTGTGACTAAGAAACATAACATTAAAAACATGCAGTGTTGATGGTAGAAAAGGGGGCTCTTAATAGGGAGAATTTTTATTCTGGTTTTGTTTTTTCATTTTAGATTTATGCATAAATAAAACTTTAAAGATTTTGGTTTTGCAGGCAAATATAATCTTATGTTTATAACTTCTGCCACTTACCTTACAAATGAGCATAAAGCCATTGATTTGTATTCTTGCCCACTCATGTTAAACTCTGAAGGTCTAGGAAGGAACCCAATTTTGTTTACATCAAAATCCCTTTTCCCTCTACTCTATAGAAGGAAGTCATCCCCTGCACTCTGCCGTTCAGCTTCGTTCATTTCCTTCAGAGCACAGCACATAAAGTACTGTTTGTTTCCTTGTTGCTGTTCTCCTTCACCATCCAACTGTAAGTCGTATGAGGAAGGGACTACAGTTTCCCTCACCACTGCATCCTAAGTTCTCACAGAACTTGGAACATAAGAGGCATTCAATAAATGGAAATTTTTGTCAAGGATTTCTTTTTTTTTTTTTTTTTTTTGAGATGGAGCCCTTCTCTGTCCATCTCAGGCTGGAGTGAAGTGGTACGATCTTCACTTCACTCAGGCTGGAGTGAAGTGGTACGATCTTGACTCACTGCAACCTCCGCCTCCCAGGTTTAAGCAACTCTCCTGCCTCAGCCTCCCAAGTAGCTGCGATTACAGGCATGTACCACCACACCTGGCTAATTTTTGTATTTTTAGGAGAGACGGGGTTTCACTATGTTGGCCAGGCTGTGTCAAGGAATTCTTTATGTCATGGTGCAAGGTAGAGGAAAGGCCAAGCAAGTTGGATCCGGAGGGCTAAGTTTTAGTATATTTCTTTGCCTGTTTCTGCATCTAGAAATGGAAATTTTATCTGCTTTACCTTTAGGGTAAAAATGAGATCATGAATAAACATGTTTAACATAAATTATACAAATGCCTTGTGGTATAATTTTGAAAACCAGAGCTTGCTTGAATTTGAGATGGGAAATTTTATTAGAGTATCATACTTGTTTTAAAGTTAACCTTTTAATAAGACATTCATTCTAGTTTTTAATGCAATTGTGGCACAAATTTTCTTTGTACCTTTACTGGAAAGTAGGTATTTAAAAATGTCATCATTGGAGGGATTCACTTTTAGGAAACTGTAGGGTGAAACCGCAGTTTCAGTTAATCCTCCCCAAAATGAAAATGCCCTAGGGTAAGTTCACAGATAATTGTTATTTTCTATGTGTAAATGTGCCACTTAACTACCTTAGTCCCTTATTAAGATTTTGATAAATACTATGGTTTTCCTAATTAGTGTAATTTGTCTTAGAAATTTGAAACTCAACATTGTATAGAAGGAAAAAGTAAATCCTTAATATGTAGAATTTCTATTTTTTTTTAATTTTCTGTTTCGGATTAATGGTTTTAAGAAGTACAGCTTTACTTTCGCAAAGGTTTTGGTTCTACAGGGAAATTATAATCTTATGTTTGTTTATAACTTCTGCTATTTGATTTAGAAATGGGCAAGATGTCATTAACTTGCATTCTTTTTCCCTCAAGGTAAACTGAAAGTCAGGGAAAGGACAACATTTTGTTTAAATCAGAATTCTCTTCATGTACTTTCTAGCAACAGATATATAGATAGATCCATAAAGATTTATTTATGTTTGTATGAGAAGTTTGAACTTTTTTCTTACTAAGAACATTTTCATAAGATATATTTTCCATGATTAGAGTATAAATAATACTGAGAAAAGACAAATTTGGTTGTTGTAAACAGTTATTACACAAAATCCATTAGTTCTGAAACCGTTATTCAATTTTATCATCTATCAGAAGTAGTCGTTTAGAAACCGGCTTGTTAATGGAGAATCAATGAAGTTGCACTTAGTCCTGGCTACAGCTTTGAGGGAACTGACTGTGGACACTGCCATTTAGTGGCCTCCACATACGTATGTGTGACTGAGTTGGTAGTGACTCTCTCTAGTTATTTGGTACCTAACTCCCATATTCCATACTTAAAAGTGTTTAATACTTTTCTGTAATTAGTGAAGATATCAAGGATTGCTGCTACATTTATGATGTTTTGATACTAGTTTTTATTATTTTTGAAAAAATATATTTCTAAAACTAACATCGTAATTTGTACTGAGTTAAATGCCATATATCTTTCAGAGGATCATAAAACAGGAGTTGGGGCAGTCATTTGGGCAGAAGGGAAATCTGTAAGTATGAAAACAATTCTTTAAATATTTAACCTGGATTTTGTTTAAACATAGTTCAGTCTTCGGTGCATTACAGGTTATTGACCATTAAGATTAATATTTTTGTAATGGTGCATTTATGAAGATCTATAAAGATTTGCTCATTCCCTCAACAATTTTCTAGATAGACGCATTCATTCAGCAAACATTTGTTAAACACTCTCTACAGGTTAGGCACTGTGCCACAGTGAACGCTGGGGATTAAAGATCACATTTTATGGCCTCATAGTTTAGTGATAGAGACGTAGAAGTAAAAAATAACTGATATGTAAGTGTAATTATAACTGATGTCATGAGAACATAGAGGAGGAACCTTTGCTTGGAAAAATGAGTAAATACTCGGTGAATATTATTAATGTTAATAATATTAATATTCTTGAAGAATAAGATAATTTCATCAGACAGAGCAAGTCAATAGGACCAGGAAGATAACATGCATATTCTTTTTTTTTTTTTTTGAGACAGAGTCCCCCTCTGTCACCCAGGCTGGAGTGCAGTGGTGCAATCTTGACTCACTGCAACCTCTGCCTCCTGGGTTCAAGTGATTCTTATGCCTCAGCCTCTTGAATAGCTGGGACTACAGACATGTACCTACCACCACTTTTGCCATGTTGACCAGGCTGGTCTTGAACTCCTGGCCTCAAGCAATCCACCCTCCTCTGCCTCCCAAAGTGCTGGGATTACAGGTGTGAGGCACCATGCCTGCCCTGAATATTCTTAATATTAATAATGTTAATGTTCTTGAAGATTAGGAGGATATAATCAGACAGAACAAGTTAATGGGACCAGGAGAATAACACACAGAGATTGCGGTGAGAGAGAGAATATGGGAAAATGCATTTGATTTGGCACATAGAGTAAGCAACAAATTGGACTGGACCATGAAGAACCCTATATCCCATGTAAAGATTTTGGACTTTATCCTGGCAGTGACATACTATAGAACAGCACTAACCAGTAGAGAGAAAAGGCAAGCCTCAAACTGAATTTTAAATTTTTAAGAGCCATATATATATATTTTTTGAGACGGAGTCTCGCTCTGTCGCCAGGCTGGAGTGCAGTAGCGCAGTCTTGGCTCACTGCAACCTCTGCTTCCTGGGTTCAAGCAAATCTCCTGTCTCAGCCTCCCAAGTAGCTGGGACTACAGGCACGCGCCACCACGCCCAGCTAATTTTTGTATTTTTAGTAGAGATGGAGTTTCACCATGTTTTCTGGAATAGTCTCAATCTCTTGACTTCGTAATGCATCTGCCTTGGCCTCCCATAGTGCTGGAATTACAGGTGTGAGCCACCTTGCCTGGCTGGAGCCATATTTTTAAAAGGAGAACAGATGAATTAATTTTAAGAAAATATTTAATCATGTAATCAATAAAAATTACTAATGAAATATTCTGCATGTAAAAAATATTAAATCTTCAAAATTCTATGTGTATTTTACACCTGCAGCACCTCTCAATCTAGACTAACCGCATGTGACTAGTGGCGACTGTATTGGACAGTGCAGTCCAAGAATATTGTAAGTGGAGAAATGATTTGATCAGATTTGTATTATAAATGAATGAAGTAGGGCTAGACAGGAAATAGGGAGATTAATAAAAGAGAGATGAGAACTTGGAGTTGTGGGGATGGGTTAGGAGGCTAGAATCAAGAGATATTTAGTAACTATATAGCTGACTGAAAGGTGAGCCTACATTTTGCCTCAAGGACTTCACAGAAAGTAACCTATTTGCTTTGATGCTTCACAAACTCCTCAAGTTCAACTCATCCAGTATCTTCCCTGCTAACCTTCTCCCTCGCTAGTGGTCACCATCTCGTCTGTTACTATACACATATGATCACCTACCACAATGGATTCCACCTTCAAAATACCTCTTGACTCTACTTACCTCTACCCCAACTGTTAACTCCTACTAGAACACTAGGCTCCTCAGACAGAAATTCCATAGCACTCTGTACAACTTGTCTGTGACATTCATCACAGTTAAAGTTATCTGTCCAATTTCTCACCCTCCCCAGACTAGAAGGCTCATGAGGGTAGGGACTCTCTGTCTTGTTTACAGTTGTATTCCAGCACCTAGCATAGGTCTAGCCAGTGGTTGGAACTCTCATTTGTGTGTACATGAATGCTCGGCAGCCTTTTGGCTTAACATCTGGTTCTTAAAAATTTTGTGGGGAATGTCAGTTTCTAGTTATCTCTACAGCAGGCCGGCAGGCAGCACGGTGAAATGGAAAGACACATGGCTTAGAGTCAAGTAACCTGGGCTTGAATTCTGACTATGTTACTTACTCATTTTGTGACCCTAGACAATTAGTCATTCTTGTCCTCAGTTTCCTTATCTGTAAACAGTAATATTAATAGTATCACTCTTCAGGTTGTTTCAAGAATTGATCAAATGAAATGATGCATATAAAACTCAGTATGGCTGGGCGCAGTGGCTCATGCCTGTAATCCCAGCACTTTGGGAGGCTGGGGTGGGAGGATTGCTTGAGCTCAGGAGTCCAAGACAATCCTGGGCATCATGGTGAGACCTCATCACTACAAAAAATGAAAAAATTAGCCAGGCATAGTGACATGCACCTGTGGTCCCAGCTACTTGGGAGGCTGAGGTGGGAGGATGACTTGAGCCCAGGGGGTGACAGAGCGAGACCCTGTCTCTAAATAAATAAATAAATAAATAAATAAATCAGCATGATGTTTGACATTTAGTAAATGTTCAAACAGATTTATTAATGAGATAATATTTTGTTTGCAGGCTTTTGTTTGCCTACTATTACATGATTTTTATGAAGCTGCTACAGTAATGAGTCTGTTGATATTATCATGAGTAATTATAACATATTGAAATTTATGAGGTTTATAGTATATTCCAAACTATTACACACACAATATTGATAAAATATTTCATTCTAATAATTGATAAAGCATTGATATTAACTACTATTTCTCTTTAAAAGAGAAGAAAGCCATTGAAGTAAGAAGTTCTATAATAATATGCATATAACAGAGGTTCAATAAATACTGAAGATGAAAATGCATTTTTTATTTTCCAACTAAATCACAATAGCACATTTTTAGCCCAACAACAGAAGTTTTCTCTTTAAAGTATTTAAAAGTTTTCGACTTGCTAACCAGTAGCATGGCACAGAGCACATAAGAAATTAACAATCACAGCCAGGCGCGGTGGCTCATGCCTGTAATCCCAGCACTTTGGGAGGCCGAGGAGGGTGGATCATCTGAGGTCGGGAGTTCGAAACCAGCCTGACCAACATGGAAAAACCCTGTCTCTACTAAAAAATACAAAAAAATTAGCCGAGCTTACTGGCGCATGCCTGTAATCTCAGCTACTTGGGAGGCTGAGGGAGGAGAATTGCTTGAACCTGGGAGGCGGAGATTGCTGTGAGCCAAGATCGCACCATTGTACTCTAGCCTAGGCAACAAGAGTGAAACTCCGTCTCAAAAGAAAAAAAAACAAATTAACCATCACTTGTTGAGTCCCTGCTATGTACAGAACACTCGAACATGTTGAAGGGATAGAAAAGAAATATAAAACATGGTTTCTGCTCTCCAGGATCTTATAATTTATATGGGAAGTAATATCTGCATCAAATGAAATAATTTGTGAGTTAAGTAAGATAGTATTTAATTAATTGCAAAAAACAAGGACTTCCTTAGGATTATAGATTAGAGAAGTGGTCAGCTTTCTTGGAATTTTGCTTTGACAAGATCACACTGCAGTAGGAGGATCTGATATTATATTTTTTGATAGTTTACTGTAGAAAATTGAATGAATATTCATTATACAAAGTATGAGGGCAAGCTTCAAAAATATATTGCAAAGTGCCTTTTCAGAATGTTGAAACTAACCGTTGGTTTGCTCACTCTCGTAGAGAAGTTGTGATGGAACAGGTGCCATGTACTTCGTAGGATGTGGTTACAATGCTTTTCCTGTTGGATCTGAGTATGCTGACTTCCCACACATGGATGACAAGCAGAAAGACAGAGAAATACGGAAATTCAGATACATCATACATGCGGAACAGAATGCTTTGACATTTAGGTATGAAATCCTTCTTGGTGTACTTTTCTTTAAAATGTAGCAAGTGTTGGTTGAAATTAATTTTCTTATAATTGCAATTTATTTCCTTTTTCAAATTCCAAGAAAGTTTCCTTTCAGAAGTATAACTTTGGTAAGGCTTGGTCCTGCCAGACCTGAAGCTATGACCTGAACTGAGGTTAACGCCTCTGCAGGCCTTCCCATTTGTTGAGCATATCTTTTTTTCCCTTCCCTCTCTCCAGTATGAAACTGCTTGAAGTTTATCCATTGGAATCTTGCTCAGACTCTCATATTTCTGGATGTTAAGAGCTCCTTTGTCTTCTAAATCTGGAGCACACATTTATTAATACAGTTACACACCACATAAAGACATTTTGAGCAACGATGGACTACATGCACAACGTGTTCCCATAAGATTATAACAGAGCTGAAAAATTCCTGTTACTGAGTGAAGTAGCCATTGTAACATCACACGTTACCTTTTTTATGTTTAGATACACAAATACTTACCATTGTGTTACAACGGCCTGCAGTATTCAGAATAGGACTTTATAATGAACCAAATTGCTTTAAAAGAACTTTTGTTAACGATTATAGCTGTCAATTTACATCATTGTCACAAACACTTCTCAGCCTTTACCATTAAGGTTAAGGGATCAAAAAACTGTAAGACACAGCTCCTGTTCTTGGAGAGCTTCTAATGCAGTAGGGGATATGAGATAGCATCCACCTCATGCTGTGGATTCTGTAGGAGAGGCAAATGTAAAGTGCTGCGGACATTCTGCTGCTGCTATGGACAAATGGGAGAGTGCAAGGGAAAGATTTGAGGGAAGAACTGGCATCTGAACTGAGCTTAAAGGATTCCTAGACTGGGGCAAATGGAAGGGAAGGGAAGACCATTCTTGCTTCTAGCATAAGCAATGGTCTGGAAGTAGGAAAATCTATGGTGTGTTTAGGAGCATGAATATTCCAGTTAGGTTGGAATGTGGACACAAGGGAAATGCAGCTCACAAGGACAGGCTGGGACTGGACTCGAGAGGACTTTGAGTTTATGCTTCATTTGGTAGGCAGTGGAGAAATGGAATGGCATTGACAGAGCCACACTCTGTAGATTATGTAGGCAGTATTGTTTGAACAGACTAGATGCAGAGAATTCTGTTGCCCTAGTCCAGGTGAATGTAAGTAACAGTCTCAACAAGGAAGATGGATATGGAAGGCTGGCGGTGGAGGAATTGAAGATGGCTGACTGAGAGCTGCCTAAGCCTCAGAACCCGGAAGCCAGTCCTTATAGCCCCAGATGAGGGCAGTCCTTAGTCCTGAACTACCCTCAGCATGCAAAATTTCACCCAAAATTTCCTCTATTCTTTTCCTTGTCCTCTTCATTACAGATTTACTTGCTTCATTTTGTACAGAGGTGTGAATATGTCAAATAGAAACTTTTCTTTTTAAAATTATCCTATGATAGGGAAGGGGTAAGGGAACTATAAGTCAAAACAGAACTTAAATATTTAATTATTCATTTAGTGAACATTTATTGAATATCCAGTAGGTACCAGATAGGGCTGTGTCATTTGTCTAACAAGTTGAGTTAGTGTCTAGTCAGACATGATTAACTCTTAAAGAAGGTATCAGTTTCAAATCTAATTCCAGTATTCTAAACACATACTTACTTAGAAAGCATTCGGGGATTTTTCTCTCCTTCTTTGATGTCTGTATCTTCCTGATTTCATCTGTTTTGTAATCTGAAACTGAGCCTCTTACTTAGAATCAATAAATTATTTTTAGTTATAATAATTGTCATGTTCAGGTTGTATCATAACAGTATTGTAGGTTTACATATTTTGAACATTCAGTAATTCAGCAAGTCTAAGGCTTGATGATCATTATTAATGTCATAAATCTGTTTTTAAAACAGCTCAATTTTAGTGTTTAAAGATTTTTCTAAAAAATAACTTTCCCTTTCAGAAACGACCTTTCTGATATTTTATAATTTTTTTTGTAGGTGTCAAGAAATAAAACCAGAAGAAAGAAGCATGATTTTTGTGACAAAGTGCCCATGTGATGAGTGTGTACCTTTAATTAAAGGTGCAGGCATAAAACAAATCTATGCAGGAGATGTAGATGTTGGAAAAAAGAAGGCAGACATCTCTTACATGAGGTTCGGGGAGCTTGAAGGTGTTAGCAAATTTACAGTAAGTAGATGCACATTTTTTTCAGGTGTATTTTGTATTATGTTGTTAGGTACCCTTTTGCAATATTGTAAGTTAGTGCTTCCCACCCTTTTAAAGAGTTTCAACAAATTATTATTTATTATTATTATTTGAGAGAGAGTCTCTCTCTGTCGCCTAGGCTGGAGTGCCAGTGGCTCCATCTCGGCTCACCGCAACCTCCGCCTCCTGGGTTCAAGTGATTCTCCTGCCTCAGCTTCCCGAGTAGCTGGGACTACAGGCGCCCGCCATCATACCCGGCTAATTTTTGTATTTTTAGTAGAGACAGGATTTCGCCATGTTGGCCAGGCCAGTCTCGAACTCCTGAGCCCAGGTGATCCGCCCGCCTCGGTCTTCCAAAGTATCGGGGTTACAGGTGTAAGCCACCGCGCCAGGCCGAGTTTCAACAAATTATTATTATTGAGTTTATTTATATGTGCCAACCTTTACCTAACTGCAACTGTTCAGCTATGGATTCCTGCCTTAGGAATTTACGTCTCTGTAGAGAATTGAGCCAGTGGATCTTTTGGTGCCATCTGGTGGCTGATAAAAGAAAAGTACCTGACCTATCTCTTCCCTCTCATTTCTGGCTTGGAGTGGTGGTTAGAGGTGAAAATACTTAAGCGGTCCCCACCCTTTTCAGCACGAGTGACCCGTTTTGTGGAAGACAGTTCTTCCACAGGTGGGTTGATGGTTTTGGGATGAAACTATTCCACCTCAGATCATCAGGCAATAGATTCTATAAGGAGCACGCCGCCTTGATCCCTCAGGTGCGCAGTTCACAATAGGGTTCTGCTCCTATGAGAATCTGATTCCACCGCTCATCTGACAGGAGGTGGAGCTCAGGCGGTAATGCTCGCTAGCCTGCACTCACCTGCTGCCGTGCAGCCCAGTTCCTAACAGGCCACGGACCAGTACTGGTTGCTGCCAGGGGGTTCGGATCCCCTGCAATCGTTTAAAGGTCACCCCCACCCCCAAACAAAGGGAGGTGCACACACACACACGCACACACAAACACACACACATTTCTCATGAGAAAAATCAGAAAAAAAGAATATTTATTTATTTGTTTGTTTTTTTATTTATGTATTTATTTTGAGATGGAGTTTCACTCATTGCCCAGGCTGGAGTGCAATGGCGTGATCTCGGCTCACTGCAACCTCAGCCTCCTGGGTTCCAGCGATTCTCCTGCCTTGCTACCCCCGCCCCCTCTCCACTCCCCAGTATCTGGGATTACAGACGTACGCTACCATGCCCAGCTAATTTTTTGTATTTTTAATAGAGACAGAGTTTCACCATGTTGGCCAGGCTACTCTTGAACTCCTGTCCTCAGGCGATACACCGGCCTCGGCCTCCCAAAGTGCTGGGATTACAGGCATGAGCCACCACGACTGGCCCGAGAAAAAAAGAATTTCTTATTTGATATTTCCGAAAATGTACTGAGGTAGTTCATGGAAAACTCAATAACTTTTAACTGTTTATACCTCTTCACTATTTGGGTTTTGGTTTCTGTGGGGTTTTTTTTCTTCTTCTTTTGTTTTGGTTTTTGTTTTGAGACAGGGTCTCACTATCTCACCCAGGCTGGAGTGCGGTGGCGCCATCTTGGCAATCTCTATCTCCTGGGCTCAAGCGACCTGCCTGCCTCAGCCTCCCGAAGTGCTGGGATTACAAGCATGAGCCACTGTTCTCAGCCTGTTTTGGTTTTCAAAAATACTTTTTATTTGGAAAAAACCTTAAGCATACAGAAAAGTTATAAAAACACTACAAAGAAATTTTTTCCCAGAAGTTGTTGACATGATACCAGCTCACCCTTTATTTCCTCAAATGAGAAATAACCACATAACTACAATACAACCATAAAAATCAGGAAATTAACATTGATACATTACTGCCACTAATCCACAGATTCCAGGCAAGGTTCATCAGCTGCCCAAGAAATGTCTTGTATAGCAGGGTTCCCCAACCCCTGGGTACCAGTTAGGAAGCTTCTTCTGTATTTACAGTTGCTCCCCATTGCTCACCTTACTGCTTAAGCTCTGCCTCCTGTCAGATCAGCAGCGGCATTAGATTCTCATAGGAGTGTGAACCCTATTGTGAACTGCCCATGTGAGGGATCTAGGTTGTGCGCTCCTTATGAGAATCTAAAGCCTGATGATCCCCCACTCCTCGCCATCTGGTCTGTGGAAAAACTTCCATGAAACCGGTACCTGGTCCCTGGTTCCACAAAGGTTGGGGACTGCTTTTATACAGCAAAAGGATCCTGTCCAGAATTGTACATTGTTTCTGTGACATCCAATGATTTAATCCTGGCATTGAATGAGTTAATGTAACATTTAACTACTAGAATTTGCAGTGGGAAGAAAAAGGATGTAAAAGAACTGTTTATAAATTTCAGCTTTACATTCCTGCTATATACATCGGTTTGTGTCCAGGGTACCTAGAACATACATATATATGATTAACTTGGACATATAACATATAATTGTATATGTATATAATTTTAAATATAGAAACATACTATCCAGTGTCTGTCTTGTGTATATGAAGTATCATAAATTTTTACCATTTGTAATATTGTCATTTTTTTCTAATTGTTTTATTTAAAGTTTATCACATTTTAAATAGAGAGGGGTGTTGACATGGAACTGAAAGAAGGCAGAGATGGGAAAGACCTTTTTTGTAAAACTCAATAAAAGCTTATATGCAATTAGTCAGAGAAATCTCTACTTCTGTGTTTTTGTTTTCTGTCTCTTCATTCCTCCTGAAGAGTATAAAGAAATAGATTTTTCAAGTTCTCCTCATAAAGATTAAGTGACCTAGCTCTTCAGGACTATGAGTGATGGGTTATGGAGAATTCTGAAATATCTTGCTTACTGGTAGATTTTAATAGCTTTTCAATTGTAAAGAGAATGAAGAGATCAGAAGAACTTAAGATAGGGCAAGAGAAGCAGAAGGAGGCAGGAAGACTAAGGGGATATTCAGGGGCAGAGGTGGGAAAGGAAGCACCCAGTTGGGCCAGACCCTCCAGGGAGTACCCTCACTCAGGCACATGTTCCAAAGGCTGTTCATGGTTGTTCTCTGTTCTACCTCCAGTGAAGATAAACTGTCCATCTTCTCATCCTTCTCATCTGACCTGGCTGCAAATATTATGTAGATGGTTAGCTAGATACCTAGTTTTGTAAATGCCAGTAATTAACATGAACTAGAATTTGTTCCAAATCTGAATTTCAGTAATGATTATATTCTTCCTTTTAGATTGTCAAAAATAGTGTGTGTCAATAAATTTGGTATTTGTTTTTAAGATTAAAGTAAATTGAAATTAACTTTGAAAGATTTTTGCTTTCCTTTTTCATATGTTACCAGAGACCTTGAGATAAGTAGTTCTATTCTGTGGTGTTGTCGCAAACCAGGCTAGGACTGGGCAACACTGTTTTCAAGAATAGATTTTTATCAATCTATATCCATGTCCACGTACTCAATTCTTTGTTTTCTCTTTAGTATGTGTGGATTTTTCTCTATTAGGTTATATTACTTATTTTTATTATGAAAGTAATATATGCTCATTGTAGAAGACTAGGAAAATAAAAAAGAATGTGTATTATCCCATAACTCATAGATACCACAATTAACATGTTGCTGTATTTTCTGTGTCACTAAAAGTTCTTTTAAAAATATTTTACATAATTTAACACAATATTCCAACCCATAGGTCTAACTTATTTAACCATTCCCATGTTGTTGGACACCTGGATTGTTTCTAAGTTTTTACAGTTATAAGAAGCCTTTTTATGAGTGTCCTTAAACATGAATTCAGGGTTACTTGTTTTTACTTTGTCTCCCCAAATTAATAGGTTTTAGTGGTTTGATGTCTTTCAAAAAATGCCTCACTTTAAACATTTTTTGGTAATTTCTCATGTAGCTTCCTACCCTTTCTAAGTCTTCTCTCTTTCTTGGTACTAGCCTAAACCTCCCATTTCTATAAGTGACCAGCCAGTTCTGGATGTCCTCCCTTTCCAAGGACTTTTAATACATGGTAAAATGTTTGTCCTGTATCTCATCCCCCCTCAAGGCTCATGATGTTAACTAGGCTCCCAGGTAATCCATATTTGTGTGTCACACATAAGCATCAGTTCACTCATCAGATTAACTGGTGCCCTAGCAGGGCGTTTTGGTTAAGTCATTAGTGATTCTGATAGAGATTCTAGCCAGCTGAGAAAAGAAGGGCTGTGCTATAAGATACCGATTACTCTCCATTTTTCTTTTCTGCTACTCCAATATTCTATGTAATATCTGAGAATCTTCAGGCTTCCCTATTTATTCCTGAATGAGATGAAATATGGTAATCAGAAGAGATAAATGATATGATATAAAATGATATGATATGATGCAAGTAATAGTTTATGATATAACAACATTAAAAGGCAAAGTAATCCTGGTCATATTTTCTTTTTTTTTTCTTTCTTTCTTTTCTTTTTTTTTTTTGTGAGACAGAGTCTCACTCTGTCTTCCAGGCTGGAGTACAGTGGCATGATCTCAGCTCACTGCAAGCTCCACCCCCAGGTTCTTGCCATTCTCCTGCCTCAGCATCCCGAGTAGCTGGGACTACAGGCGTCCGCCACCACGCCCGGCTAATCTTTTGTATTTTTAGTAGAGATGGGGTTTCACCGTGTTAGCCAGGATGATCTTGATCTCCTGACCTTATGATCCGCCCACCTTGGCCTCCCAAAGTGCTGGGATTACAGGCATGAGTCACCGCGCCTGGCCTATCTTGGTCATATTTTCATTCTTTAATACCTAGGCCTTTTCTAGCTATTTTAAGATTATCTGGGACCTGGAGTTAGAATACAATGTGGTGTTAATTCCATAGTACTGGGCACAGGTTCTAATTCTATTGCCGCCTGTAGTTGGTATGTAACCTGAGACAAGTCACTCTAATCCTCTGGTCCTCCACTTACTTCCAATTAAAATGAATGTAAAGAATCTTCAACTTCTCTAAGAGTATTGATTCGGATCCCAGAAGTTATATCATTCAGGATCACTCAGTGTGGTGTTATTAGGGCTTTGTTAATTTGAACATGCTAACTCCTTTTTCTTCTATTTTTTTAAAAATTTTTTTCGAGATGGAGGCTTGCTCTGTCACCCAGGCTGAAGTGCAGTGGCACCATCTCAGCTCACTGCAACCTCCGCCTCCCGGGTTCAAGCAATTCTCTTACCTCAGCCTCCCTAGTAGCTGAGACTACAGGCACGTGCCACCATGCCTGGCTAATTTTTGTATTTTGATTAGAGACAGAGTTTCACCATGTTGGCCAGGTTGGTCTCGAGCTCCTCATCTCAGGTAATCCACCTACCTTGGCCTCCCAAAGTGCTGGGATTACAGGTGTGACCCACCCATGACCGGCCATTTTTCTTCCATTTTTAAGAAGTTGTTTTGATATTTAAAATCAATGTGTGGGAATGCTATGTATTAAATCCTTTTTAAACAAGTAAGTAAGATGTTTGTGCACTCTTACAGTGGCAGCTGAATCCATCAGAAGCTTATGGTCTTGAACAAAATGAGCCTGAAAGGAGAGAAAGTAAGTATTTATGTATTGAGGTGAACTTTGTTGCTGAGGAGAAAGGATATACAGTCAATTTTAATGATCAGGTGATGAAAATTGTTGTGTTAATAGATGGAGCATATTATTTTTGAAGGTTAGATTTTTGCCATTCAATTTGTTCATAAACATTTGTGTGTCTACCATATGCTAGGTGCTATGGAAAGTGCCGATTAATAATTACTCCTATAGAATCTACAGGTTAATGGTTAATACAAATAATTATGCACAAATTGACATTATAAATTAAATGCATATGAAACAGTAAACAATGCTCTTCTATAAAAAAACAAAAGCTTACTGGGAAGTGAGAAAGGAAAAATATGCATAATTAGTACAGATGGATCAGGACCAAATGATGAGGTATATACATTCTTCTAGAGTAAAGCCACATTTGCCCAGATTGGAAATGTTCTGGTTACTTGAATAATCTGATGAAGAATCATCACAGCTACCATAATGAATTACTAGTCTTTAAAGCTTTATTATTCGTGTACTACTACAGATATTTTGAATGTAATGTAATCTTTGAGAAGTCTTACAGTTCCTTAGGCACATAATTTTAGACATGAGTGCTATATAATATTATTTTAAAATAGTAACTATAGGCCAGGCATGGTGGCTCACGCCTATAATCCCAGCATTTTGGGAAGCCAAGGCAGGTGGATCACTTGAAGTCAGGAGTTTGAGACCAGTTTGGCCAACATGGTGAAACCTCGTCCCTACTAAAAATACAAAAAATAGCCAGGCATCATGGCACATGCCTGTAATCCCAGCTACTTGGGAGTTTAAGGCAGGAGAATCACTTGAATCCAGGAGGTGGAGGTTGCAGTGAGCCGAGATGGCACCGCTGTACTCCAGCCTAGGCGACAGGGAAAACTCTATCTCTAAAAATAAAAATAAAAATAAAACAGTAACTATATTATCAAATTATTTGGATTTGAAGTAAATGGAAGTTTGCTGTAAGTTTTCTTGATAATAACAATTTTTTAACCTTGAAAAATCAAGAAATATAAAAGCCTTAGAATAATTTCTCTGTGAATATATTGATTTTTAGTGTTCTGAATTAGCTTTATTTGATTCAAATAGAAAATGTATTGTTTGCAATTTGGAAAAAAGTACATATCCACTGCATCTTTCTTTTTAAAAATTTATCAGCTAAAAGGGCTGTATCTATCTATGTATCTATCTATGTATCTATCTATCTGTCTATCTATACATCTGGTTAAACAATGTATACTCAATGACAGTGTTTGAAGGGGCCAATGAATAATTTCCTATGTTAGGGAAAGGATACAAAAAGCACGAATCATAAAAAGGTTAATTTATCTATGTTACAATGAAAAGCATCTGTTCATTAAAAGATATCACTAGGCCAGGCGCAGTGGCTCACGCCTGTAATCCCAGCACTTTGGAAGGCTGAGGCGGGTGAATTGCTTGAGGCCAGGAGTTTGAGACAGGCTGGGCAACATGGCAAAACCCTCTCTCTACAAAAAATACAAAAATTAGCCAATTGTGGTGGCACATGCCTGTGGTCCCAGCTACTCAGGAGGCTGAGATGGAAGGATCTCTTGAGCATGAAGAGGTTGAGGCTGCAGTGATCCATGCTTGTAACCACTGTACTCCAACCTTGGCAACAGAGTGAGACCTTGCCTTAAAAAAAAAAAAAAAAAAAAAAAAGATATCACTAAAAGAGTGCAAAGGCAAGCCATGGAATATGAGAAGATATTTGCCACTTATAATCAACAAAGGGCTTGTATCTAGGATTTATTATTCCTAGATCACTAAGGAAAAGGAAGACATGCTGTGGTTAAAGCCCCAAGATTAGAAGGAGGGGACAAAACGAAGGCTTCTGGTTTGCTGGCAGTGTTTTATTTATTGACCCAGATGATGGTTACATATGTTCGCTTTGTGGCAGTTCAACTGAACGGATAAGTTTATGTTTATGCATTTTTGAACAAGTGTTTTATCTCGATAAACAATACCCCTATTTCTTTTTTAATTATATAATAGTTTTACTGATATGTAATTCATCTATCATAAATTTGCTTTTTAATAGATTCACGGAGTTGTACAGGCATCACTACAACATAATTTCAGAACATTTTCATGATCTAAGAAAGAAGTCTTATGCCCATTTGCAGTCACTTCTCATTCTCCCCTCCTCCTAGCCCTAGGCAACCACTCTTTCAGTTTTTATGGATTAGTCTATTCTGGCCATTTCGTATAAATGGAATCATACAGTATGTAATTCCTTTCCAATTTTTGATTCAGTTGAGAAATAGACACTAGAATCAACAGATGAAAGTTACAACACCAGCTTTGTTGTTAGACTAGGGCTTGACCTTTGGGTAAATCAGTCTAACTCCAGAGGGGGGACTTGCTGCTGGATACTTTCTCAGTGCCAGTAGCAGGGACAAACAGAAGGAAGGCAGGCAGTGTGACTGACAACTCTCAGGTGCCCTTCCACTTCGTACAGATGGAACCCAGGTAACCCATAACAAGCATTCTTTTTAAATAGTCATGGGGCTTTCAAGAAAATAAGGGAAATATTCTCCTAAGAACAAAATAGAGATAAGAAGACATTTTGCTAGAATCTGAGGAGCAATAGTAAGTCAACACAATAGCCAGAGCTATCCTGAGGACAAATATCCATATAAGCTGGGATCTAAGAGCAGGTCTGGGTCTGCTGCAAGGTGAGTGAACTGAACTTAGATATCCCGCTACATCCGAACACACAGAAACAGAAATGATTAAACTTAGTAGTAGTCAGCGAGAACGAAATCGATGAAAATTAGAATTGCATTGAAAGAATAGGCGACTTTTTTATTTTTTTTTTTCTTTTTTTTTTTGTGATACGGAGTCTCGCCACCCGTCTTCACCCAGGCTGGAGTCCCAGGCTGGCTATGATACACCGGTTGCACTGCACCTCTCACCTCCCAGGTTCAAGATGATATACGCTCTGTTCAGAACTGCGCTTCGAGCCTCCCAAGTAGCGCATGGGATTACGAGGCGTGCGCCACCTACGGAACCGCAACAAAAAACACCCACACACAACTATATATATATGTAAATTTAAACTAAGTGAAAGAGATGAAGGAGATTTCAGCGCATAGTTAGAAACTAGAAGGCTGGTCTCTGCTCCTGCCTCAAATCGCAAGGTGATACTGCACTCACCTTGCGAGCCTCCCCAAGAGTGCTGGGATTACAAGAAAGATGACGAGGGTAAACCCACCACAGCATAGCACAGAAATAGCATTTTTTATAAATATAAGTGCCCTGGAGAAACTCTTGCGTATTGTAAACTAATAGAGTCACAGAAAGACGCAACAAAAAAAAAAAATCTTTGTGTGCATAATAAACCAAATCACAGTATCCATATAAAAAAACGCAAAATCATGAAAATATACAAACCAAAAATAGTTGTAAATAACACAGGAGACTCTGACATAAATAGAATTCACAAAATCAATTATAAGGTAGCGAGAGACCAGGCACCAAACACATAACCAAAAAGGCAGATAGGATAGGGCTCACCAAAACTCGTCAACAACAAAAAGCACAATATTGAGAGAAGGAACGCCAAAGAGCAGAGCGAGCAAATAACACACAGAGACTCAGAAAAAGCAGAATCGAGACCCAGGGAAAAAACACAAAACACAAAGAACAAGAATCAACATCAATACTAATACAAACAAATAAATAGACAACAGAACAAAACCGAACAAGACACACGAGACAACATAGATATAACCAAAAAACAACACTCAGAAGACATAGAGGCAGAGAGACAAACGAACAGAGAGACAAACAACAGAGGAGAAGCAAGAAGAACATAAGACAATAAAGCAAGACATGAGATACAAACCAACCCCATAAAGACACTAACACAGCACATGAGAGAGGAGACAGCGAGACATCATGTCTCAAAAAAAAAAACAATGAGAGTGTATATAGACCACAATAGAGACAAGAACAAAAAAACTCAACTAAAATAAAGGCGTAAAGGAGGCAAGATGAGAAAACCACACCAAATCCGAACTGAGAGCTACATTCTTCAACATGGATGAATCTTAGAAATATAAATGTTGAATTTTAAAAAGCAAACTACAGAATTATGATACCATTTCTGTATAAAGTTCAAAAAGACATACCATATATTGATTAAATGTGGTAGGCCAGGCATAGTGCTCACACTTATCATCCCAGCATGATGGGAGGCTGAAGCGGGACAATTGCTTGAACCCAGGAGTTCAAGACCAGCCTGGGCATCACAGCAAAACTCCATCTCTACAAAAGATACAAAAAATTAGTTGGGCATGGTGGCCTGTGCCTGTAGTCCCAGCTACCCCAGAGGCTAACAGAGGAGGATCACCTGAGCCCAGGAGGTTGAGGCTGCAGTGAGTTGAGATTGTGCCACTGTACTCCAGCCTGGGTAACAGAGTGACAGAGACAGACCCTGTCTCAAAATAAATAAATATAAATAAATAAATAAAATAAAATAAACTTTAATATATCGTATATATAGTAAAGTTATTGTTAAGAAGCAATCAATTGATAAACACGAAAATCAAGATAGGAGTTGCCTCTGAGTGGGGTGAAAGGGGATGGGACGAGAGAGGGAGTGCATGGGAATTGGTAATGTTCTAGTTGTTGGATTCAGCAGTATGTTTTTTTTTTTTTTCCATCTGCCCCCGCCCCCCGACACATCATGTAGTTTTATTCAGTTTTAAACAAAATTTAACTCTTTTGGGACAGTAAGTTCATGAGTGTTCATTTTATTGTTTGGCTTTAGAACTCCCATCTGTATTACGTATATATTATTATATATTACATAATACATTTTACATATATAGAGAGAGACTGTTTCAAATTTTACATAATACGATGAGAAAGAGAAAGAGAGAGGGGTGGCTTTCCAGATCTACCTCTGGAAGGCAAGTCTGAGCCCTGGCCCAGCTGTCCTTAGGACCAGGAAACAGCAGGGCAGAACACACAGGCTCAGGGCAGGAAATCCTTCCAAAGATAGGAAGAAAGGCAGAAGGAAGCTTTTGCAGGTGGTAGATATGTTCATTGTCTTGACTGTGGAGATAGTTTCATGAATGTGTACTTATGTCAGAAATCATGAAACTGGTCTAAGCAAAATGGCTCTTTCCTGTAATTCCATCATTTTGGAAGGCTGAGGTGGGAGGATTGCTTTAGGCCAAGAGTTCAAGACCAGCTTGGGTAACAAACTGAGACCCCCCATCTCTACAAATATTACAAATTAAAAAGTAAATTAAAAGAATTCATCAAACTATATACTTCAAATATGTTGTTTATTGTATACTTTAAACATGTATCATTTATTGTACAAATAAAGCTATTAAAAACAAAAGCCAGGAAGAGGTTGAAGCCATACTCTTTTCCCAGCCTGCCCGGTCAGGTAAGTCTGTCTTCCTTCCAGTCCCCAGATTCTCCCTATCCCACACATAGTCCCCTTCTCCCTTAGGAGGTACATTTTGTTTCCTCCAGTCTAGTAATAGGACTTCCCCCCACCAAAAACATAAAACAAAAAGTTTTATGAATTACTTGCCATACACTGTTGAGTGAATTCTTTTTCTTGTTTGTTTGTTTTTTGAGACAAGGTCTCACTGTGTCACCCAGACTGGAGTGCAGTGGCACAGTCATGGCTCACTGCAGACTCGGCCTCTCTGGGCTCAAACAATCCTCCCACCTCAGCCTCCTGAGTAGCTGGGATTACAGGCGTGTGCCACAACACCTGTTTTTTTGCTTGTTTGTTTTTGTTTTTTTTTTTTTGAGATGGAGTCTCACTCTGTCGCCCAGGCTGGAGTGCAGTGGCGCCATCTCAGCTCACTGCAAGCTCCGCCTCCTTGGTTCACGCCATTCTCCTGCCTCAGTCTCCCAAGTAGCTGGGACTACAGGTGCCTGCCACGACGCCCGGATAATTTTTTTGTATTTTTAGTAGAGACGGGGTTTCACCGTATTTTGCCAGGATGGTCTTGATCTCCTGACCTCATGATCTGCCCACCTCAGCCTCCCAAAGTGCTGGGATTACAGGCATGAGCTACCGCGCCCGGCCACAACAGCTGTTTTTCTAAAAAAAAAAATTTTTTGTAGAGATGAGGTCTCCCTATGCTGCCCAAGCTGGTCTTGAACTCCTGGGCTTAAGTTATCCTCCCTTCTCAGCCTCCAAAAGTGTTGGCGTTGTAGACGTCAGCCATCGCACCTGGCCCATGTGAATCCAATTTTTAAAAGCCAGATTCTGTATTGCCTGAGAGTAAGTTATCTAGATTCGATTCAGATTGAGAATTTGAAGATAAAATAAAGTGAAAGTTCCTTTAACTTAAGCATTGTTTTGCTCTTACAACCTGTAAGGCTGAAACAAGTGCCCATGGGTTTGAAATGAAGCTGTCCTGACCTAATGTTATTCTCAATGCTAGACGGTGTGTTGAGACCCATCCCACAGAAGGAAGAGCAGCACCAGGACAAGAAGCTGCGCCTTGGAATCCACTAAGAAGGACTGTCTACACTGCAGGGGAACCTCAAGAACTTTTCATTGCACTTCTAAAATTCAGCCTTGTTCATTCAGAAAATAAGGATGGATTTTGTGAATAATTGCAAAGATTTTTTAAGGAAGCTAATTTATTTCTAGGATACAAATGGTGTTAATAAGAATATTTGTCTTTTAGATTTATGTGTGGGTTTTCCATAATGTAGTAGTGTGTTATTTTATTACACAAAATGAGGGAGCAATAACTTAAACCAATGTAAACAGCAACAGGGACTGATTTCTATTTATCTTGACTTTATATTAGCCAATTTGAAAGGGTCTGCTTCACAGGAGGTCATGCCTCTGCAGGGAATCACACACCTTTTGAGAAATATTAATTCTTTTGAATTACAAGAGTGACAGTTAGTAAACTGCTCCAGGGAAATAAATGTCATCTTTTAAGAGTCAATGTATAGCAAACCAAAAGGTCACATTTATACCCAAAGCTTTCTAGTAATCAGAATTTACTTAATTAGAATTGACTCATAAAAATAAAGTTAGTGGACTTGGTCTCCATTTTTAAAGTATATTTTGTAAATGTTAACTCTGTGGTCCTGTTTATTACAGAGTTTGGGTAGCAATAGGAAGACAGTGTTATTCTGAGACAGTGTCACTGCTTGATATCACTGACTCTTGAAATCACTAACAGTGAACCTCAAATTTGGTTATGATGCTAACAGAGAAGAAATATTTGAGTCTGGACTATTGAAACTAGCCTTCCTAGAATTCCATTAATAAATGCTGCTCCCCCATATAATCTTTCCTTCTGTAAAATTAACACAGGTTGTCTCATGGCATTGATCTTCAAAAGGAAGAGCCTTTTAAAAACATTTACCAACCTCGAGAATAAATACTGAAAGTCTTGAAAGTATGGTAATTTCAGCTATTCCAGATTGCTGTCTGTGATTTCTTACATTTTTATTTGCTGAGAAACGTTCAGAAAATTATTCCAAAAATGAGGGTACATGTTCTGTTCTCTCCTAGGTTAGAGAGGGAGTGGCCTGGGATGCTTCATGAGAAATGGCTCCCTGGATCTGTGGTGGTCAGGTTTGCCTCTGCTTTTGTTCCCTGCCTTTCCACAACATCACATGGCCTCACTGGGCTTCCTACCAGTTTCTCAGAATTACACGCAGGACCATCCAAACATGGGCTCCGTGCCAGGGCTGTGACTGCAGCCTGTGTAGGTCCATGGGGAGTTCAGAGTCATCATACAAGGCAGCCAAGAACTGCCATAAACACTACACAGATGGAGGGCATGAGATAGGACGGGAGACGAGGCGAGGTACACTTAGAGGTAACTAAGGCTAGTTTGAAAACCATGAGTTAAGATATTCTTATCCGTATAAAAACACTGAGATAGCTTACCTCCCAAATTGCTTTATTATATTAACTCTCATGCTTCAGCTCTTGGATTTGTTGTTTCTTACTAACCTGTCATGTACACCAAACATTTTATAAATCAATCAGTAAATATTTTGTAAGACCCAATAGCCTGGCATACTGCCAGGTCTGTGGATTTGCCTGTTGGGCATTGGGATGGGATATGAGAGGAAGAAGCATACAAGTGGGAAAAACTGTGATTAGAAAGGGAAAACTAGGCATTTCCACAGTATTATTAAGAGAGTCATGATAATGCCATTTTTTTTTTCTATACAACTGGTCAGATTTCAATAAATAATCATTGACGGTTTACTGTGTAGCCTCAGAAGGTGAAGTCTATGAGGGCAGGGAGGGGTGTGTGTGTGTGTGTGTGTGTGTGCTTTTAAACTGCTGAACCCCAGTGTCTAGAACAGTACCTGGCACACAGTAGGCATTCTATAAATATTTGTTGATTGATTGAATGACTGCTAAACACTGCTTGACCCGGGGATGAGATGTGTGAGAAATGCTTCCTGATCTTAAGACACTCACAGTCAAGTGGACAATACAAGCATGGAATCAATTGCATGTTACTACTCATGGTGGAACTGAACAATGAAGATCACTGGACTCGGGAAGGGAACATCAACACACCGGGACTATCATGGGAGGGGGGAGGGGAGGGATTGCATTGGAGTTATACCTGATGTAAATGACGAGTTGATAGTGCAGCACACCAACAGTGGCCAAAGAACATATGAAAAAACCTGCACGTTATGCACATGTACCCTACAACTAAAGTATAATAATAATAAATAATAATAAAAAAAAAAGAAAAATGATTCTCAGGCCAGATGCCGTGGCTCACACCTGTAATCCCAGCACTTTGGGAGGCTGAGGGGGGTAGATCACTCAAGTCAGGAGTTCAAGACCAGCCTGGTCAACATGGTAAAACCCCGTCTCTAACTGAAAATACAAAAAAAAAAAAAAAAAAAAGCCAGGCATGGGTGCATGCCTGTAATCCCAGCTATTTGGAAGGAAGCATGGATGAAT